CATTCTGCAGCAGAAAACAGTAACTATACATCTTTCTAACAATCATCCTTGTCAGAAAGCGAAACAAATAACGCATACGTAAATCCTACAGGTATATATATTTTTGCATAAGGTGATATAAGTAGAAATAACATTGTATTGACCAACTGTTGGTGCTGATCCTGAATCTTATTTTAATGTTGAAAGTAAATTAACCTATACACAGAATAAACACTTTTGCTGTGAAAATAGTCATGTATATTGGAGACAAATGTGTATTTGTCGCAACAATGGTAAATAAAAAGATATTTGTACTTATATAGGTACATGTACTAGATAAAATATGGTATATTAAAGCTTGTTCTCTTTATCCCTTTTTTATGCTTCCACATCCAGAAACTACCCCTCAGCTGCTACATATTGCACTAATAGTACTACCTCAGGAAAAACCACTGACTTCCCCGTAGTCTAAATACTTGTAATAATCATTTCCATGTTTTATGCTAATGTGATTTGACGAAAAACCCACAAAAAATATATCAAAGCATTAAGGTTACACTGCATAATGAATCTAGTCACAAAAAATGTCTCCAAAATCGTGGTATTTGCCTTTCACTTGGGCAATCTGGATTTTATTTTTCAATCCAATCACAGGTACTTGCATTATCTGTCAATACACCCAAGATGTATACACAGATGAGATTAGTACCTGTAGTCAGATGTAAAAAGGTATGAGGTCACCCTGCCCACCCACGTAGCTTTATCTGGGTACTTCAATTTCCTCCTGTGGTAAGACCCCTCGCCTGCTTCCATCCAGGTCAAGCAAGGTCAACCAGAATAATTAACATTTGTTTTACAGTCATCGTAAACAACAAAATATAATCATCTATGTTTTGGAAATAAGATATCAAGGTAGTTTCCATTCATGTGATAACAGATTTCTACCAGAATGACAAATTAGCGAAAAAAAAAGGGATTGAAACAAAATTCTTGCACTGATTTTGCAAATGAAATAAACAAAAACAAGAATGAGTATATAAGTGTGGTAAATGTTGTAAAGCTACACACCAGGTAATATACAAATATACTTAACATCAATCTATCTACAGTCTACAATCCTAATGGTTTTATTGAACCAAATCAAATGTATCCCAGTCTTTTTATTTATATATGGTATCCTTAAACCAGGTCACGAAAATTAGTTGAAGTCTGATACAGTAGACACATTAGTGAATATGATATCTAATTTAAATCAGTTTGGGACCTTATTGTAACATCTATAGGAAGTCCATAAATATCCTATTTTGACAACACACCAGTTTACATCTCTAGAATAATTACTGAGAAGAATGTTTCAACAAAAACATGTTGTTTCAATGATTTAAACTCTGTAAAGGTCATAGTGTACACATATGAAGGTCATGAACTTTATCTTTTTGTAAGGTTATCATGTACACATCTATAGGTCATGACCTTTACTTTTATAAGGTCACAGTCTACACATCTAATGGTAAGGAACTTAACTTTTTGTGAGGTTGAAGACAACATATCTAAAGGCCAACAAATTTAACTTTTCGTAAGATCATAGTGAACACACACGGGAACTTCAACTTTTTGTAAGGTCATAGTGTACACATATAAAGGTCATGAACTTTGGCTTTTTATAAGGTCATAGTGTACACATATAAAGGTCATGAACTTAAGATCAACTAATGAAAAGTGAACATGTCTGGTAATACTTTATACCATAACTTAATCTCTAGTACCTATTGTTATAGCATAACCAGCAGTGGTTAACAGAGAAAACCTTTATAAAGACAGCTTTCTTTCACAGACATCAGTAATCTAATGTAAAATTGTTTATTTATTGCTACTCTACACTTTGTACAGCTATGATACACATTAATATATGGCAGGATACATGATAAAAATCATTCTCATTATATAATACACATAGACTCCGTAATAGGGAGCAAGTTATCATACATAAAATTAAATGGAAGATCATCAACTGGAGCATGAAAATGTATTCGCTTAATTTGCACCAAACAAGGAGATGATTTCCAAATCACTTAAATAGCTTTTGAAAAAGAAAAATATTCTCATCTTATATTGGCAGCCATTCATATTTTCCATAACATTTATTAGCTCACATTTGTTCTTAGTGTCCTGTTCTAAATGGGCAAAAATAAAACATGAAGTAAAGTTTGATGTTGAAACATAAGTTTTATGGAATTGTAAGGGTGACTAATAGGGTAAAACAAATCCGAGACTAATGTCTCTCTGTGTACAGATGAAATTTCAACAATGCTGGTCCAGATTGAATTAATGACATGCATAATAAGGACTACAAATCAGCTTTAACAAATGATTATACCTACAACAATACACGCACATCCTCATGTATTTAGCTGATGACTGATCTGTTTTTAATGACATTTTACACACCTTTGTCAGTGAGTATAATGTGTCACAATGGATGATTTTTCTAGTTAAAACTATTGATATCTCTGAGCATGCCATGTCAGTTTCACATTCTGTAGAGTTTTAATAATCTGCACTTAACGTATGCTTTCTGTGATTGGAGATCTCAGACAAGAATTTAATTCTCATGATGATAAATCTGTAAATACATCTTGTGTACAACACTTTTGTCTCTGCAAATTCTAACCTCATTTAATGACCACAATTAATATTTTATACAAAGTCTTATTGAAATAATTTATTTTCACTTTCTGTTATCATCCTGATAAAGAAATGCCTTCATCTTTGCCCAGAAAATCTGTAACGGACTGGAACCTTTCCTCAGGCTAAGTATCCCGTTATGACCTTTCGTATAGTAATAATCTCAATTTTAAGAAACCATGAGTATAGCATTAGAAATCAGAGCATTATTATAACTTGTGCAATTCAACAATGTCTTAAGATTTATTTTTGTAATAAGAAAACTATGGCCAACAAATATTACAATTAGAACAGAGGGAATGATACTCAAAATAAACACTTATCATTCAAGATTCTGTTTAATCAATAAACAAAAACTACATGTGGTGACTGTACAAACATGTGATAGTTATAAATCTTACCCTGAAAATCTATCACTTTTGGTGTGTGAAAACTTAAAATTCTCAGTATCTCAACTTTCTGTTCAAGAAATGTTACAATTTTGTTGTTCTCTTCAGTATTGTTACTAAAACATGATGTTTTTTTTTACTTTCATATTGCTCTCCTGTAATTTCATCATCTTTTCAATCAACGGAAGTGATTTCTAAACAATGGCATAAAATATATCGCAAATTACAATATGTAAGAAATCAATAATAATAATAATAATACATTTTAAATTATACTTCCAAACAAAAAGGAATCCTCCAAAACTGTTAATATTCTACATCTTTATGTTATTTCAATCATTTTTTTCTCTCTCAAAGTTGATATTTTAACAACAAGATACCAAATATGGTAAAAATCATTATTCTAAAAACTTGTGAGATATGCTTTCAAAGCAATCAATTATGAGAATATACATAAAACCTCTAGTAATTAGGTATTACACTTTCCTGTACAGTTCAAGTTTATATGACAGGTTTATCATTAATAATATATACATGATGATTTACATAATACACCCCTCATGGATAAGATCTCTCTCACAAAAACAACGAAATCTGAAGTACCTGACTGTCACAAACCTCTGCATGGTTCAAACCATATATTTCACTTTTTGGCAAAATGTTTGCTAAAATAAATATAGCGTTATTGTAAATCAAATCATAGAATTGTATTTAGATTCAGAGGTTTTACAATAAAAAACAACATGAAGTTCTTCCATCTTCAACAAAACTGAAGGCTTATGTCCCAGACAAAGACTCAGCCATTTTAATCAGTGTACTGTAACAATCACCACACAATGGCAATCAGGTGTAAAACAAAGACATATCTCTCTGCTCAGTAATAGTGCTGCATTAATTTTTATATCTAGATAAATGGTTAACATATCACAATATATACATATAAGTATTATTGCAGGTGTAAAAAAAAAAGACATGGAAAAATCACAATTTTTCTTCAGTGATTGAAGACTCATAAGCTTAAAAAAATCAATTTGAAAAAGGAATTTGGTTGACAAGCATCAACGATTCTTAGGAATTTAAGTGACATGCACCAACCTAAAGGAATTCAGGTGACATGAACCAACCTAAAGAATTCAGGTGACATGAACCAACCTAAAGAATTCAGGAGACATGAACCAACCTAAAGAATTCAGGAGACATGAACCAACCTAAAGAATTCAGGAGACATGAACCAACCTAAAGGAATTCAGGTGACATGAACCAACCTAAAGGAATTCAGGTGACATGAACCAACCTAAAGGAATTCAGGTGACATGAACCAACCTAAAGAATTCAGGTGACATGAACCAACCTAAAGAATTCAGGAGACATGAACCAACCTAAAGGAATTCAGGTGACATGAACCAACCTAAAGGAATTCAGGAGACATGAACCAACCTAAAGGAATTCAGGTGACATGAACCAACCTAAAGGAATTCAGGTGACATGAACCAACCTAAAGGAATTCAGGTGACATGAACCAACCTAAAGGAATTCAGGAGACATGAACCAACCTAAAGGAATTCAGGTGACATGAACCAACCTAAAGAATTCAGGAGACATGAACCAACCTAAAGGAATTCAGGTGACATGAACCAACCTAAAGGAATTCAGGTGACATGAACCAACCTAAAGAATTCAGGAGACATGAACCAACCTAAAGGAATTCAGGAGACATGAACCAACCTAAAGGAATTCAGGTGACATGAACCAACCTAAAGGAATTCAGGTGACATGAACCAACCTAAAGGAATTCAGGTGACATGAACCAACCTAAAGGAATTCAGGAGACATGAACCAACCTAAAGTATTCAGGAGACATGAACCAACCTTAAGGAATTCAGGTGACATGAACCAACCTAAACAATTCAGGAGACATGAACCAACCTAAAGGAATTCAGTTGACATGAACCAACCTTAAGGAATTCAGGTGACATGAACCAACCTAAACAATTCAGGTGACACATACTGATGATCCTAAAGAATTTCAATGACACACAGATCCAAAGTAATTCAGATTACATGTATCAGAAACCTTACAATAACCCGTGTGCAATAAACCAATGATCTTAAAGTAGTAGGTGATATGCAAATGAAGTCTGAATTGATCCCCATAAGGACACACACCAAATATCCAAAAAGGAGCTCCTATGTAACACATTAAATACAGCAGTATCGACTAACATGGAGGTGATTGTTGAGACATACAACAGTAGTGAATATTGTAAGTTAGAACACTTATCCTGGTTAAGTAAAAATTACGGAAAAGAATCACTGTATGCAAAGTTTTCAATAATTAGGTTATTATTAGCACTTGGTTTTGGAGTTTGGGGACTAACCAAAGTGTAAGTGACTCCCTTATTGTACATCACTTGTTTATTGCTAAGTGTCCCCGTCCCTCCCAAATGTCATCAACTGGCTGATGTCCGCCGATAAATCACTTTTTTCTGCTTCACCGTCATCCTGAAAATGTAAAAAAGTTAACATTACAATGTGAATATGCTACTCCTTTATTTGTAGTGCTATCTACTGTAGATTGTTTGATGGATCATTTCAATTTGTACAGTTTTACCAGAAGCTTCTCAAGTTGAAAGGATATATCTTGCCAAACTACTATAAAACTATTGAATGACTCATTGAATTTATGGGCAATCTGAATCCACAAATTAACGTTTTTACATCAGGTGCCAACAAAATGTATATTATTGGCAAACTACAAAATTTTAGCCCCACAAAAATTTAAGTGATTTTACTATTTAAGGTTAAATTTTAGCCCCACAAATATAAATGATTTTATTGTATGGTTTTGATTTGTTATTTTATTTTAAACAAATCTTTTTTCACAATTCTCTACCATCCTTGAAAATATTTTTTTTTATAGTTTTCCAGAACACGTGATAGCACCATTTGCTTTGACGCTGATCTACATCAAACTGATACAAATCATAGCCTTGGATTGAATACAAATCATAGCCTTGGATTGAATACAAATCATAGCCTTGGATTGAATCAGATCAATATTACTGTTGTATAGAAATAAAGAGTTTCAATTTTCATGATTTTTTTCTTCCACTTTTATACAATTTTCTTAACCTGCTCAACAGCCATGTATGACACTATAATTCAGTTTCTAAGAAAATATTATCCTGCTACAGCCTTATTACAGCTGATTACACTTAGTCGCAATAAAATAAAAACAAATTTACTGAAACACTATTTCAATAGCTTAAGTGAATGATGAATGCTTGTGACATTCTATTTAATATTTTGATCTTAGAGTAAACAGACAAGACACAAGAGAGGTATAAATCTAGATATTTTCTCAAAATCAAGAAGATCTGATGAAGCATCATCTTGTAACATCACTGTATTTTATTTGTAAAGTCTCCTAGGGTCCTTAACAGAAGGATGATTATGTACATACAACAAAATCACCAGAATCACACATTACTATATACCTTATACCATAGCACTGGTTACATATATGCTGTCTTTACAGGACACTGTTAGTTTATACCATAAATACTATATTTAGTACCCTCTCCCAATACTGGTCTGTAACACAAAATAAACCTTCCCAAGTTGTGCCTATCTACAACAAATCTGTCCTCATGATCCTCTACATCTGGAGTGATAAAAAATGTAGTCACAAGCCAACATTAAGGTTAAATGCGACATCAAGTCATCATGTGAAAGATGAGGTCATGGTGAAGGGAAGTAACTCTAAACAAAGCAGCTTTATATAAAATACAACAGAAAATTCTAAAAGAATATACACTTCACTACTAATCATATGTTGAAATGTGTCCATACAAATGATGTATTTCTGCTGATAAAGCAATGTTTCCATACAAATAATGACTTTCTGCTGATATGGCAATGTTTCCATACAAAAAATGTGTTTCTGCAGTAAAGCAATGTTTCCATACAAATAATGACTTTCTGCTGATAAAGCAATATTTTCATACAAATAATGTGCTTCTGGTGATAAAGCAATGTTTCCATACAGATAATGTATTTCTGCTGATAAAGCAATGTTTCCATACAAATAATGACTTTCTGCTGACAAAGCAATGTTTCCATACAGATAATGTATTTCTGCTGATAAAGCAATGTTTCCATACAAATAATGTATTTCTGGTGATATGGCAATGTTTCCATACATATAATGTATTTCTGCTGATAAAGCAATGTTTCCATACATATAATGTATTTCTGGTGATATGGCAATGTTTCCATACAAATAATGACTTTCTGCTGATAAAGCAATGTTCCATACAAATAATGACTTTCTGCTGATAAAGCAATGTTCCATACAAATAATGACTTTCTGCTGATAAAGCAATGTTCCATACAAATAATGACTTTCCGCTGATAAAGCAATGTTTCCATACAAATAATGACTTTCTGCTGATAAAGCAATGTTTTCATATAAATAATGTATTTCTGCAACTAAGGCAATAGATCATACTGTGAAGATTAAAAATGTCATTGGCAGGTGTAATTAAACTCTAAAGACCCATGAGAAGGGATTGGTCAATATCCAACACATGATGATCGAGTCTGTAAATACAGTAATGTCATGCATCTCTTTATTATGATTTCTCAATCATACTCCAATCTAATCATAACAATTCCTCATACGTCAATCAAATGTAGCCCATCCTTGTGTGTCAATCAATATTAATAACTGAATAATTTAAATTCAAATATCAGCCCCTGTCCAGCATGCTTTAGTCCTCCCAACATGCTGCATTCTATCTCTGGTTAAGTATGACATGCTGTATTACAACAGAAGCAATTTGTTAACTTATTAAGCATCATATTAGAGTTGGTGATGCATTATCTGTATAAAGGAAGTAAAATGGTCTCTTCTGTGTCTTTATGAAAGCTTAATTATGTTTATTGTATGGAGTACAACAAGCCAGTAGCATTTTTCACTCCTAAACTAACTCTGCCCTCTGTTTCACTAACATTCTATCCTTTAGGCAGTGTTACTCCATTGTAAAGGAAGACTTATAAGGATCCAATTCATCATTGAGAACACTATACAGACAGAATTTTTCTACATCGATACTAAAGAAAATACACTAAAGAACATATTATCAAGTATTTGATAATTTTTGGAATAAAATGCTTGTTTAATCATGTTCATTTGAATAAACTTTAAAATTAAGATTTCTATACCTCGATACGACTTATTTACTTGAAACATTTTGCTACAGAAACTATCTTGGAAATGTTAATAAGGCAGCACATGTTCATGCTAAACAATCTTTAGAACAGAATCTAAGATGAAAGGTCAGAGATCAAGAGGTCAGACTTAGGCATGGGAGAAGCCTCCAATGTTTGACATGCATGTTAAGTGCACACTGATATATGCATGAGTGCTTCATAGACTGATTTTGTATTAACATAAACTCACCGACCATACTATCTGTCCCAACTAGACCCAAAATTAAACAATGTAATACTCATCAATCAACACATTTTACTGAATTTAAACAAGTCTTAAGATAATCAGAGGACTAAACAAGACAAGGAATGAGTGAAGTTCTGACTTGTGGTTTAACTTAATATATTTCCATAACTAAAACTATTCACCAGACTAATTAAATTTACTTTACAATTAATTATAATCTCAGTTATAATAGTAAACTAGAGAACGGAACAGCAGGACCAGATAATAAGTTGATATTTCAGTTTTCTGAGTTAGCAGTAAGTTACAGGACAATGTGTGAGTGGGTTGTGGTGTACAGTCTGACTCATTAGAATGGGATGACGACAGGACACAAAATGAATGAGATATCAGTATTGGGTTGTGGTCTATAGCTTGACTTAGTAGAATGTGATGGTGACAGGACACAGGATGAGTAAAACAATGTCTTGTGAACTACAAGTCTAACATTACATCACATGCAGGATAGCCAGTCAAATCATGATTTGTCATTATTTCTACGTGTATTACCACTATTTAACCAATTTTCTTCAGCAGCTGCTGATTTTTGTGATAAAATAAGTTCACAGTCATTCACAGCAAATTCTGACCCATCATTGTCAAATCTGAAGTGCAGAATTTTCATAAAAACTATGTAGAGAACCCCGTTTTTGGTCACTTATTTGGCCCTGCCATGCAAGCTTAGCTTGATGTAGGGTGTATAAAGTACATTAATCAGTTGGTGACCTGTTCAGAGATCAGATTAAGTTTTGACACATATTTATTAACAGCTAGTGAGGTATAACCCTGTACCCTGAAAAATCAACAGTGAAATGTAGTTCCAAATTCATTATATGTCAAAGGCTTCTGTTTTGCTAGCAATGTAAAGGACTATCAGTTATTTAAAAGCATGTACGGCTTCATATACAGATGACCTATTCACTGAATTCAGACCCAAGAGTTACTAAACACTGATTTATCACAGAATAATTCACAACATTAATGTATGTTTTGAGTCAGATTAAGGATAGGTCAATACTCATCATTATTCTTTAAAAAAAACACAACTTTAAAAATCAATGCCTACTATCTTTGTGTGAATTTACAATTGACAATTTTTGTAATTTTTGCTTTGATTGTGAAATTTGCAAAAGAATATCACATATTTTCAGAAAGAAAGTTGGTTAAAAGTATTCTTCTAAAGCAAACAAACTGGATATGAATAGTCAAGTAGTGACCTTTGACCTTAACAGCAACCTTGATCTTTCAAAATAAAATTATGGAGTAGATTCCAACTTAAATCAAACATTTGATGATAGATTTTTATGATTATACTAAGAGCTGTTCCAGAATTAAATATGTGAGGGGGTCGGGAGGCACTTGTTGTTTACCCCAACCACCCATACAATAAAATCTATTCAATACCCAAGCATGCATACAATTGAGTTTTTGTCAAATCTAACAACCCACACAATTAAATATGTTACTTTAAGCAACCAACACAGAATTTTATTAACATGACACCCACAAAATTTCATTCTGTTGCCCTTTCTTCACAACTTTCCTGAGCAAAAATATTGTCAGGTTTTCCAAAAAATTGATATGAAAATATATCTATTTACCCAAACTGTATGAAAAAGAGTGCTATTTCCTATTTCTGCATGTATAAACATACTAAATATAGCATTTCAAAATGAAAAAAAAAAAATGTCTCCACACCTTTCTTACTTGTCATTTTTAATCTGCTAACTAGCATACATATATTGGAAATTTGCAATGAATGCAGTTGACAGAAATACTCATTATTTCACATTTTTACTTCATTTATTTAACATGTTGCCATTCTTTTCTTGTTATGTCATATACAGGCAAAAACTAAATTTCCTTGTGGCAATTTGTATTAGGTTATCCCCCTTGACCTTTTGGATTGGAAACCAATGCATATTAGGAAGAATAAATAGATTATTGAATTTCAATCTTTTCAAAAAAATCTCAACAACTGAATTGTCAGACCCAACATTTAACAGTTCGCATTTAACCAGTCACCCATATAACTGAATTTGTAATGGCACCAATCACACATAAAACACTTTTTATTGTTGTCCCAACCACCCCCCCCAAAAAAACCCCATTCATCTGCCGCCCGACTCCCCATACATTAAATTCTGGAAAACGTTCTTAACAAAAGTATTTCCATAATAAGTAGTTGTTTCCTTTCTGTATCATTCTGGCAAATAAAAATATATCAGTAGTAAATTTTAGCTTCAAAGGACTTTTTAAAACATATTTATGTGAAAGTATATTATTAATGCATTACAAACCTATTTTTATCTTCAGTAATTGATAGTTCTCATTCTATAAATGCAAATCCATGCAAAGTATCAAATGGACGGGTATCTACACCCTACTAACCCATCATTTCCCTAATCACTACCACACAAAAAGTCTTCTACTTTCTGACTTCCTAACAAAAAAGTGCAAACTTCTCTGGTCAACCTACTTTCTCTGCCGCCTTTCCTCGTTCTTCGCAAGAAGGACCTGCTCCGTCTGTTTTAGCTCATCTTGGAGTGACTTTATGGCAAAATCACTCTGTCCAGTTTGTTCAAGTTCTTGTAGTTTTCCTGTCAACTTGCTCTTTGTCTCCAGGAGGTCCTGTATACATCCATAGATGTCTCGATCATCCGATTCCTGTCAGGAGTAAATGGTCATATCAGATGACAAGCAAAATCCATGTAAGAGTGTTTGTATTTACATCAAATTCTGGTTTTCATTTAAAAGTTCCATTAAGGCTGCTCAGAACAAGAAAAAAGAGTTAAGAAAAACTTCCTTCGCTAAGGAGCTTCGTAGTTATGATAAGGAACATTCCTGAATTGCATATTTCAGAAAATGTTAGCTTAAGGGACTTTAAGTTTAGGAATGTTCATAAAACAAGGGCCTGATATGATAATAAGATTTCAGTACTCATATATACTGCTTTATCACAGAAACATATCTGTGTTAAACAAGATCACACATTAGTATCCTTGGTTATCTGTCACTTTTGGTACATGCTAGCCAAAATCTTTCTCAATTCTCTCACAGCATACAGTCTGAACTGCTATTCAGTGCTAATAGCTTATGCACAGCCAATAATTCTATCATTGATGACAGTTATCTCCCCTGGTACACTCAAAAACTTACACATGGGTTGCGCATTTCCAGGTGAACTAGGATGGCAGCCATTTCTAAATCCTCCCCAAATCCATTCTTCAGGGGAATACTTCTATACCCTGTCAACACATCATAACAAAAGCTGACAGACAAGTTCTGAGAATATTAAGTACTTGTCTCATTTTGATGATTTTCTGCTCTTGAACAATTTAACAAAGGATCAGATCAATATAAAATTGATTTATTAGATAAACTCTGTACATTCACTACACTATCAAGCTAATTCTGATACAGAAACCAAGGACAATCACCAACACAACAAATATGTATCAGTTTAATGTACTGTATTGTCAAATCAAGGCAGACACTCCGATGTCGACATCAGTTTCTTTACATAGCAAACAGTATAATTACACTTGATACTGATGTAAAGTTTTGGAAACCTTTAGCACATGTTTATTCTATTTCTCTTGAAAACTTTTATCTACCCACCACTTTTGATACATGGCACGGGGAAGGTGGCTTGGCCGAGGAAGTTTGGTTCCCCAAATGTATCCTCATCTTGGACAACGAAACGTATCAGTGCAAGCTCAGGACAACGAAGGTCAAACACCACAAAGTTGTTGTCCTTCCATACCGGGTTTAGGCCATTGTCCGCTAATTGTAATTAACAAATGTTAGTCACAAAATATTACAAATCATTGGATGATAAGTTCTCGATTAAATTTGATTTCCCTAATAGCTTCTAAAATTGATATTGAATTGTTACCTCAGCCATATAAATGAACTTATTTCATTACAATTTTTTCAATCTGAACCAAACATGTGTCAGAAAATCTAAACTGAAACTTAGAGACTCATTAAGATGACATTTATTATCAATTAGACTAATTCAAACAGTTTTTCTTCAAACTAACATCTTTTTGGATTTCTGACTTTTTCTAGATTTATATACTATTGTAAAATCATCAATTTTCTTGGCCATTTTTTTTCATTGATTTTATTTTAATACATGAATTTATACACCCACAAACTGTTACAATAAGTATAAGAAGACTAAGTGAGTTATATCAACCCATGGAATAGAGTGTCCATGAAAAAGAGATTTCAATTTCACAATTCTCTCAACTTTCTTAATTCTTAATACAAAACTTACCAATCGTTGGGGTTTTGAATTTGTGGACATCATCCTCAATACCGGAAATTTCTATTTCTATAAATGGGCTAGCTATTCCTCGGCCTGACTTTACAAGGTGGCGTGCTCCTATTACCTGTTATCAAAAGGTCAAACTGAGGTCAGAGGCTCTCATAGCAAACATTTTATGAAGAATCTCAAAAGAATTTATTTTCATTTTTTTGTATCAATTGATTAAACTGGGTAATATTAATTCAGAATGAATTCTCCAAGGTATTACAAATGAATATACTTACAGATGAATAACAAAAAACAACAAAATATTGATAAAACACCACGTTTGAATATCATGCATAGACGTATTTTGTTAATAAGGATTGATTTCAATTCTGATGACTACTAGGTTTCCATCGACTAATGACCACGAAACTCTGGTGAAGAACGTAGTCTGTAACAGGTGAATATTACCAATGTAAATCTTTTAAAAATCTTATTCAATGTTATTCAAAGGTGGTTACAATATTTTATCTCTGACCTTATAACCTTGACTTATGACTGGAAAATCAAATTAGGTACACACAGAACTTAAAGCTACCTTGTACACAGGTTTTTTTTCTACAGATCGACAGATAGGCAATCTGTCAAAGGATATAGACGAAAGATTGTATGTAACATAATCAACTTTTTACTTTAAACCAGGCAGCATCTCTACATAACTTGAAAACTTTCTAAATCTCAACATCAAATATGTTATAAATCACTAAGGAACTAACACTAAGATTTACTCTTAATACGATACATACTGAATGATATGCTATGTTTGTAGAAAAATTACTGACCGTGATAGATATGGTGAGTGGTGCCACCCCCTGAAGAGTTGTCTTGTCATAAGGATTAAATACCGGGATCCTCATTGTCTGGGGCTGCAGCACGTACCCACAGCTGAAACAGGAATAACTTAAAGTAACAGCACTTCACCACTGATTTCTCATACTACACAATACATATCATACGTTACAACTAACAGTAATACTGTGTATCTGTAATGGCAGAGAACTATACAAAAATTTATCTAAAAAAGTCTACACAATCTTTTCTGTAGACTGATGGACTTTAACACCTTATCTGTATGTAATGTATAACCATTTCCTGACACAATCCTTGCTTACATTCATGACTATGTTAATCTATATGAGATCAGGTAATAACTGTGTGAAGTGTCAGTTACCTCCCTTTTATTTATTTAAACCAATTTTATTTCATAATACCAAATGGTATTTAGAGAAATTTAATGCCTTTTTAATCATATTTTCAATGAAAAAAAAAATGAAAAAATTATAGGTAGTTAATGCTTTTTTTAATGACATTTTCATTCACAAGCCCAAATTGCAGTTCACTGGCCATGTAAACAAATGCTGTTATTCTATAACAATTCCTTTCCTTCATTACCTTGTGGTGGATCACTGGGTTTATCTCTGGATAAACAATTCCAAATTTTACTTTATTTGGTCATTTTTGCAGTGGAATATTAAGACTAGAAATAAATCATTGTATGAATAAATCCCATATCTTGTTACATAGCATTAAGCACATATCTTCTATTTACTGTTTTTCTTTTGCAGAACACTATACCCAGAGATTTTTACCACTGAGAGTACTGTATAGAGTTACAAAAAGTTTCTTACTTTCCATTTCTGAGGAAACGCCCCTGGTTCAACTGTATAGAACGGTCTGGTGTCTGGTAATTGAGGGCCACCATTTGTGTGCCAACATTCCAACAAGGCACAGGGTCGTAGTTAGAGGACTCAAGACGAGACCCTTTAGGGTACACCCGACTCAATTGGTTCCTGTTGTATGTGACAAAGGTCAAGGACAAATAATACAGTATTCATCAACACCTTACATCTGGCTATCATAAAAAAAAATTTCAACGGAGGGTTTGGGTTCCCTTTTTTGTTTACATTTTCAAAAAACCATGTTTAGGGCACAAGTCCTTTTAATTTTCCATACAAATATTTAGCTGATGTGTGTAAATAAGGCCTTCTCAACATCCAAGTACAGTTTTCTTCTTAAATGTGGTCCATATGTCGTTGATATGTTTCAATCACTTTTTGGAAAACTTTTACAACTTTGAAGTATAATTTTAGGGCTCAAGATGGTTACATTTGTTAGGTAAACATTGACATGTTACAAATATATAAAATTGTGATGTCATCATTATCTTAGGACTACTGGGATTGACCATATTATTTCATATCAGGAACAGAACACTTCAGTAGACTGATAAACTTATATTCAATCACATATAAAAGATACCGTTTTCACATATAAATGTAAGGAACATCGTCATTTTAACAATTTGGCTGTAGAACTTAAAAGTAAATCTAGTCACTTAACAGATTTCTTTACACGACAATAACTGAAGTTATGGTAAATGTGATATGATAAGAAAACTGTGTTGCATTGTAGTCCACCAAGGAATCAAACTGTAGACAGAGAGGAATGTTTCACAAAGCTATTATAAAAAGGATATTTTACAAAGAAGTTTGCCTGAGATTGAGTGAAAAACTTTTCCATCTTTGTTTCAGAGAAAGAAGACATTTCGCAGCAATTTGGATTGTTCATCACTCCTGTAAAATAAAGTCAGTGTGACATTGTTTATTTATTGATTAAAATTACATCAAGAATGGTGTAAAACATGATAATGGAAGAAAAACTTACAACATTTTTTTTGTTTATTTCCAGTAAATATATCTATATTTCAACAGTAAATGTTTGAGTAACAACGTTTAAAATATTAAAGTTACAAAGTCATTAAAAACAGAGGCAAACAGAAATTCTACTTTTCATCTGTCTAGACTATTTTACAAAATGTTTAAGAATAACAATGACAGACACTCAGGGTCATAACATATCTAATATTTTTATGAAGTTGAGATGATATCTAAAGTCTGGCGTACAATATCATAAGGTGCATAAGAAGAAGACTTACTTTGTGGTTCAAATGGCACAGCAATGGTGTAAATAATGAGGTCAGAAAGGTCACGAGCTAGACACTTCTTACGTTCTAATCGTTTGTCCTCTTGTTTCTAAAATTAGAATTAAATGGATATTGAAGCAGTTATAACCACAGCTGATGAACAGGAAAAACAACACACATAAACACAAACGATAATTTTTTGTGTGTAATGGGAAGTAATAGTGTCTTGTTGTGTGTAATTGTGCTTAGTAGTATCTTGATGTGTGTAATTGGACCTAATAAAATGTAGTGTCTTGTGTGTAATGGGACTTTACAGTATATTGTTGTGTGTAATGGTGCCCAATATTGTCTTGTTGTTTGTAATAATGCTTAATAGTGTCTTTTGTGTTATATGGTCTATTAATATCTTGAAGTGAGTTATGTGATCTAAAAGTGTTTTACTATACGTAAAGGGATTGTAGTAGTATCTTGAAGAATTATCTTGCAGTATAAATTGTCTATTAGTGTCTTACAGTATGTTGTGTGTCTATCAGTGTCTTACAGTATGTTGTGTGTCTATTTGTGTTGCAGTATGTTGTGTGTCTATCAGTGTCTTACAGTATGTTGTGTGTCTATCAGTGTCTTACAGTATGTCGTGTGTCTATCAGTGTCTTGCAGTATGTTGTGTGTCTATCAGTGTCTTACAGTATGTTGTGTGTCTATCAGTGTCTTACAGTATGTTGTGTGTCTATCAGTGTCTTACAGTATGTTGTGTGTCTATCAGTGTCTTACAGTATGTTGTGTGTCTATCAGTGTCTTACAGTATGTTGTGTGTCTATCAGTGTCTTGCAGTATGTTGTGTGTCTATCAGTGTCTTACAGTATGTTGTGTGTCTATCAGTGTCTTACAGTATGTTGTGTGTCTATCAGTGTCTTACAGTATGTTGTGTGTCTATCAGTGTCTGTGTGTCTATCAGTGTCTTACAGTATGTTGTGTGTCTATCAGTGTCTTACAGTATGTTGTGTGTCTATCAGTGTCTTACAGTATGTTGTGTGTCTATCAGTGTCTTACAGTATGTTGTGTGTCTATCAGTGTCTGACAGTATGTTGTGTGTCTATCAGTGTCTGACAGTGTGTGTCTATCAGTGTCTTACAGTATGTTGTGTGTCTATCAGTGTCTGACAGTATGTTGTGTGTCTATCAGTGTCTGACAGTATCATATGTGTCTATCAGTGTCTTACAGTATGCTGTGTCTATCAGTGTCTTACAGTATGTTGTGTGTCTATCAGTGTCTTACAGTATGTTGTGTGTCTATCAGTGTCTGACAGTATGTTGTGTGTCTATCAGTGTCTGACAGTATGTTGTATGTCTATCAGTGTCTTACAGTAGATAATGACATATTGCTGTACCGTTCCAACAAGATTGTTGGTACACATGTTGATATTCTCTATCCAATCCTTCATCTCAGTTTCATTGTCTGCTGCTACTTCAATAGGAACATTCTGTGTGCGTGTGAAGATACGGACGACAAATGGACGGTCAGGTCGGCTAACAGGTTCTGAAATGTACAAATATCAAACTCATTACTTGTAATTTTAAAATGAATTTGAAAAAACATTGTAACTTAAATAACTATTTCCTTGATACTAACTCTCAGTGTTAGTAAGTATGTAAGAGATATTCTAATTAGCTACTGTTCAAGTTCCTGTTCTTCTTCAGCTTATCTACATTCTAGTATCAATTACCATCATTGAATGTAACAAGAGGGCCATGGGCCTTAACTGTCATCTGACAATCAATGAATGGATGGACAGAATTCACTGATGGTGGTCTGACAAATCTGGTGAATTCAAATTTTGAACATTCCTCAAGTTTTGATCAGACTGAAAAATAAATAATCTCTTTCTTTTCTTTAAAAAAATCAAACTCCAAATAATTATTTTTGGTGTGAATGAAACATGAGAAGTTGTTCAGACTATTTGTTCTAGATGAGTTATGTTGGGTTTTGAGCCAAAGTGTAAAAGTAAGATTTGGTCAGGACAATTCCTGGATCACTCTATACATGTTTGCTATCATTGCCACTACCTGATAATGTTTCAGACTAAACTTTGTTGAAATCCATTCAAGCATAAATATTGCTAATATTGTCTAACTTTCCCTTTTGGTACTCATCTCCATGTCCTTAGGGGTCAAATCAAATTTCTGAATATAAGAAATGATTCCCCAATCTCAGTGATGTTTCAGACTAAATTTGGTTCAAATCCATTCAACTATTCAGAAGGAGTAGTGTTTTGAAGTGAAAATATTGTCTAATTTCCCCTTTTGGAGCCCCAACCCCAAGTCCCTAGGAGCCAAGTCAAATTTCTGAATTCAAGAAGTATTTAAATACCCCTACTGAGGAATTTCAATGAAATCCATTAAAGTATTAAGGAAGAGTAGCATTTCAAATGAAGTATTATCTGGTCCCATTCGCAGGGTTCAAATCAAATTTCTGAATTTAAGAAATGATCCCCACCCTTATGATGTGTTAAGCAGGAGAAGTGTTTAAAAGGAAAAGTTTATAGACGGTGGACGGACGATGCACCAGAGCAATAGATCATTTTGACCGTTTGGGTCAGATAACCTAACGAGACCATTCAGGGAATCAAGAGTCCCCCACTAACGCGATGCTTCACAATGACTAGCAGTGTAGGAGATAGACCGAAGATAAACTTCCTCTTATAATTTGTAGGTAAAAGGTCAAAATGTAGGTCAGAGTAAACCATTTTCGACACAGAATACACTTCTGCACCACGGTGAACTCATACTCCAAATTTAGAATTCCAGTGGCAAGCAGTGAGGGAGATAAAGCTATGAAAAGATAGCTGAGGGACAGATAACACAAAGCAAAATTATATTCCTGTATGGTTTCCATTTGAGGACTGAGACACAAATATAATGGTAACATAATACATAGAACACAGATATATAAAACTAGACAATCTCTGAAACACAGGAATGCTCTTGTGCCCATGAAAACTAATTTTACTGTTCTTAAAAAATTTCTAAAAAAAAATACTAAGAGCAAGTTTTGGAGCATGTCAACGCAAAGTGTTCTGAGTTATTCTCAATTTGACCCTTACAAGACAGTACATTTGATGTTCACTGCCAGGAAACTTAACATTTATATATCAAAAGTGTCATTTGTACCTATTTTACAGCCCTGAACATCTATGGAGCCTTTCTGCATAGCTCCCAAGGGAGTTGTGTCCGCTGACTCATCCTGAGTCTCTATTTCTTCTACCATGTAATCTGGAAACCATGCTTGCTTCTTGTCACCATAATCACCACGCCACCTGGAGGCAAAGTACAGAATTGCAGTATATTATAACCACGCCACTTAGGGACAGGACACAGAATATAAATTGGTACAATTATAACCACGCCACTTAGGGACAGGACACAGAATATAAATTGGTACAATTATAACCACGCCACTTAGGGACAGGACACAGAATATAAATTGGTACAATTATAACCACGCCACTTAGGGACAGGACACAGAATATAAATTGGTACAATTATAACCACGCCACTTAGGGACAGGACACAGAATATAAATTGGTACAATTATAACCACGCCACTTAGGGACAGGACACAGAATATAAATTGGTACAATTATAACCACTCCACTTAGGGACAGGACACAGAATATAAATTGGTACAATTATAACCACTCCACTTAGGGACAGGACACAGAATATAAATTGGTACAATTATAACCACGCCACTTAGGGACAGGACACAGATTAAAATTGGTACAATTATAACCACGCCACTTAGGGACAGGACACAGAATATAAATCGGTACAATTATAACCACTCCACTTAGGGACAGGACACAGAATATAAATTGGTACAATTATAACCACGCCACTTAGGGACAGGACACAGAATATAAATTGGTACAATTATAACCACGCCACTTAGGGACAGGACACAGAATATAAATTGGTACAATTATAACCACGCCAAAAACAGAATATAAATTGGTACAATTATAACCACGCCACTTAGGGACAGGACACAGAATATAAATTGGTACAATTATAACCACGCCACTTAGGGACAGGACACAGAATATAAATTGGTACAATTATAACCACGCCACTTAGGGACAGGACACAGAATATAAATTGGTACAATTATAACCACGCCACTTAGGGACAGGACACAGAATAAAATTGGTACAATTATAACCACGCCACTTAGGGACAGGACATAGAATATAAATTGGTACAATTATAACCACGCCACTTAGGGACAGGACACAGAATATAAATTGGTACAATTATAACCACGCCACTTAGGGACAGGACACAGAATATAAATTGGTACAATTATAACCACGCCACTTAGGGACAGGACACAGAATATAAATTGGTACAATTATAACCACGCCACTTAGGGACAGACACAGAATATAAATTGGTACAATTATAACCACGCCACTTAGGGACAGGACACAGAATATAAATTGGTACAATTATAACCACGCCACTTAGGGACAGGACACAGAATATAAATTGGTACAATTATAACCACGCCACTTAGGGACAGGACACAGAATATAAATTGGTACAATTATAACCACGCCACTTAGGGACAGGACACAGAATATAAATTGGTACAATTATAACCACGCCACTTAGGGACAGGACACAGAATATAAATTGGTACAATTATAACCACGCCACTTAGGGACAGGACACAGAATATAAATTGGTACAATTATAACCACGCCACTTAACAGGACACAGAATATAAATTGGTACAATTATAACCACGCCACTAAGGGACAGGACACAGAATATAAATTGGTACAATTATAACCACGCCACTTAGGGACAGGACACAGAATATAAATTGGTACAATTATAACCACGCCACTTAGGGACAGGACACAGAATATAAATTGGTACAATTATAACCACGCCACTTAGGGACAGGACACAGAATATAAATTGGTACAATTATAACCACGCCACTTAGGGACAGGACACAGAATATAAATTGGTACAATTATAACCACGCCACTTAGGGACAGGACACAGAATATAAATTGGTACAATTATAACCACGCCACTTAGGGACAGGACACAGAATATAAATTGGTACAATTATAACCACGCCACTTAGGGACAGGACACAGAATATAAATTGGTACAATTATAACCACGCCACTTAGGGACAGGACACAGAATATAAATTGGTACAATTATAACCACGCCACTTAGGGACAGGACACAGAATATAAATTGGTACAATTATAACCACGCCACTTAGGGACAGGACACAGAATATAAATTGGTACAATTATAACCACGCCACTTAGGGACAGGACACAGAATATAAATTGGTACAATTATAACCACGCCACTTAGGGACAGGACACAGAATATAAATTGGTACAATTATAACCACGCCACTTAGGGACAGGACACAGAATATAAATTGGTACAATTATAACCACGCCACTTAGGGACAGGACACAGAATATAAATTGGTACAATTATAACCACGCCACTTAGGGACAGGACACAGAATATAAATTGGTACAATTATAACCACGCCACTTAGGGACAGGACACAGAATATAAATTGGTACAGAAATCTTGTTATGATTTGGTTATATACAATCATTAAACAGTTAGGCTGTGTTTTGTACAGTGTATCTAAACAATGGTGATCAATAAGGTATGTATCACAAGGCACAAGTCATATACAAAAACAACATGAATCATAAGACTAAATGTATGAACTATATGAAAACAATATTTTAATTATAAGGAGACTGTCATGTTTATCTTCGAAAAAAAACTTTAAGATAACACTCATTACAGGACAACAATATAGGACTAGTTTACATTTCAATAGAAACTAAAATAAATGTGGGCAGGCTTAGAACATGACATAAGCTTATGACATGGTATTGGCTTATTACACGACATGTGCTTATGACATGACACAAGCTTATTACATAACATACACTTATTTACATGACATGTGCTTATGACATGGTATTGGCTTATAACACGACATGTGCTTATGACATGACACAAGCTTATTGCTGGATAAATATGGCAACATACAATACATGAATAATAACCACTTAAAGGTCAATCACAATTCCATGTTATCATCTTTTAGTCATAAACACTGACCATCCGTTGTCTGACTTGTTGACGTTGGTGATCACTGCTCCCTTCAGGAAGGAGAGTTCGTCAGTTCGATTTGCTGGGTAATCATATAGAGCCTTGACCTTTACCTAGATGGGAAGAAAATATACAGGCTGATTTAATTGATGACCATTAATGATAATAATATTCGTTATCAATATATAAATTTATACCATCGACCAGAATATTTAATGTTGGAGTTCATATCAAAAATCTGTAAAATCACTCAGTTTTTCTACCTGAATTTTACAGCAGGCTTTTTTATAAACTGGAAAGTTTTACAAATGTTTTCTTCAATTTGGTAAAATAATTCAGTGTTTGGCTAGGAATAGAAAAAAAAAGTTTTCAGCTGTAAAACAAGACAAACCTAGATGTATCTGAGCAGCTGCCAAAACCAAAGACAAGTTTGGAACATTTTAGTTCTGTTGGCTTTATAAACAGGTATACTCATGAGTCATTAAATAAAACTAAAGTTCTGCCTGAAGAATCTATGGTAAAATATCTGCACGACCTGCATATTACTGTAAATATCCTTAAATGGTCATAGTCAAATTATAATATATAGTCAATTATAAACAAACTCTACAAATGAGGATTTCACATTTATGATAACTGCTTTTTAAACAACATGCAGAAATTGTAATTAACATAATCATATTTCAGAGAAATAACTTCAGACCAAATAAATGTTAAAATACAATTATCAGTAAAGTATGGACAGAATATCAAATTACAATGCTATACCTTTATCAATTAAAAGAGCATATTAACGGTAGCATAATAATGACAGAATGAGAGACAAGGGTAATGTCCCTGACCATGAAATGGAAAGAACATAACAAATCTCTGATAATTGTTAATTAGAGGAATGACAAAGGACACTTACTTCAATAACAAAAGTGTGCTATGGTTACTATAGAGAAAGGACACTTACTTCAATAACAAAAGTGTGCTATGGTTACTATAGAGAAAGGACACTTACTGCCACAGCAAAAGTGGGATATGGCCACTTAAAAGAGGACATTTACTTTAGAAGGAAAAGTGGTTATAACTGCATAAATGATACTTCCTGCAGTAGCAAAACGAACTATGGTTAATAAAAAAGAAAAGTTGAATTTAACTGTTGAAAAAGACACTTAGCTAACATAAATATTACTAATGTATATTACAAATACTGATGCCAAATTCATGTAGAAAAAATATATCAAATTTACAAGTACTTCATCGCATGCTGGATACAAAATTGTGGAAGAGAAAAAAAATGGTTTTGTATATGTAACATAAGTAATTTAACATATTATGCAACACCAAATCATTTAACACATCATGTATAATTGACATAACACAACATAAATGAAAGGATTTCTACTATACGGGTGTGAACATGCCCAGCTCTGGGGTAAATAGAGGAGGATATTAGTAACCATGCGACACGGTATCCAGACCAACACCTACTACCATGCACTATGTCCAGTTTTTATGGAGTTTAATGTCCTCCTAACAAACCAAGGTAATTACAGGATAGGTTTCAAGAGAGGCACCAGAAGGGAAAAACAGAGCACAAAAAAAAAAGCAAACAGAAAAAAAAGGAAAAGGTCAAGATCCCAAGGGTTCTGATGAGGGCAGCAGTAAGAATCTGCTAATTAGCCCACCTAATGAGATGGCTACTTCAAATTTCAAACAAACAAGGTCAGCTCAAGAAATCAAGCAGCAGTTCTTCCTATGATGGACATATTCAATTCAACAAGTTATATGTTGGGCCTATAGATCAAGGAACTTCACTCTGATTGATAGAAAGAATTCTTATACAAGATAAAACATTATAAAATACACAATATTTCAAACTAGTCTTTAATGGTGGGCATCTGGATAATGCTTTTCATATTAAGTCTTTGGAAAACTTTAGACCCAATGTATCATCTTCATGCCTTAAAGTATTGGTAAAAGTATTCCTGTGATGTCATTCTGTAACTGCTAGCTCAAGTTAAAGGTCAACGGAAGACATTCAAGTCTATGAAGGCAGGCTCAACAGCTCCATGTCGTATATTTAAAAGTACAAAATCATTTAATGAACATCAGCTAAGTTTTAAATATGCAGAGGGATTGGTAACATATCTTTAGGTATACTGTACTCCTGTTTTTAGCTTGATTGCCAGACAGATTAAGAAATAACAGACAGAGGTGAAAGGTCAAGAAAAGGATATATCCAGTAACTTTAAACTTAATCTCAAGGTCAAAATACCATTATGTAAAATAAGCTGAAAGTCAACATTCCATGTGCTCTAGATCAATGAATAAGAGGACAAAAGAAGAATATTGAAACACTGTCCAACCTCTTTCTCAACATCAGTGTCAATTTAAGTAATATTACTCAGTGACCTCTGGCTTAGGTTCACTGGGAGAACTATGATTATTTTACCTCCAATTTAAATTGGCCAAATACCATTCAGTCAGCTGAATCCTTCTTAAATATTCAGATAAATTATCAGGTCAAAAGAAGAAAATATCAGTGAGACAAGTCTAGCTCATACTGTCACACGTCTGTGAGATAACTTGTCACAGACCTTAGAGCAGGAAGATCTAGCTATAGAAGAGTCAGAGAGAGATACTGACAGTACCACTAAAAACGTTACCTTGGTTACAAACTCATTTGGCTGGTGATATATCCCTTCTGCTCCAAGATTCTCATCCATATTCGGCACCTAAAATGCACCAGCATGCAATAGATTGCATTTTAAAACATATGTTATTGTTTACTACTCATCACATGATAAGTCATGTGACAAACCATCATGTCATGTGACTTTTGGTATTAATCTAAATATCATATATAGCCTGGATAGAGGATCTTACACTATTTTCAATTCATATGAGATTTAAGATACAGGTTTGACTTTTTTTTGTCATTCTAAAAAGCATGTAAAGCCAGGTAATATGAAAAAATGTTCATGTTTCAATAATCTCATATGAAATGTAAACAAATGGAAGATTCTGTTTATCACATAACATAGATACTTTGGCAATATTTGTGAAAATAACATTTTATTCCACTAATAAAAAATTTCTAATTTCTGATATTCTCACTTCATATCTTTTTCTTTGGTGACAAAACAATGCATATGACACCGAAACATTATGACACCAAAACATAATGACGTCATCGTGGAAACAATAGGAACCTTTAGCAAATCAGGTCCGCTAGGTGATATTACATAGATGATGTAACAAAACGTTATCTAATTAGTGTTATTTCACGGACAACCAGGTAGTTATGTGATAAATAAGTGTTTGTGACATTTGCCCAAAATCTTTACAATGTTTTCATGCATTACATTATTACAGAGAACACAGTGATCACCTTGTGTACCTTCTGTAGACAATAATGATAGATTCAAGACTATGTGTGTAAACAGAACATGTATAGTGAAATCAACCCATACATATTCTAAATAGACTAATGCTTAACTTAATTTATCAGTCAAAGCTGTACACACTAAAGTCATACTATACACTACTATACCTTAACTAAAATGTCTCAAAATTTTGTACAAAAACAAAGGTGAAATCTCAGGAACATAATTTAATTAGCTAAAAAACAAAAAAACAAAACAAAAGGTGTGACCTAAACCTTCTCATATTTAGAAGTGTTTATGAAACTAGCTTTTAAAGTTCACTTTGACATAAGCACAATACTAAGCGGATATTACATGTCAAAGCAGCATAGAGGCTGTGATAACTTTGTATTTAAGAGCAGAAGTGACCTTGATCATTTAATTTAAGACTGTGACGATCCTAATGAATCCATATATCATACAGATGATTTTGATAAATTGACTGTGGAAAAACTGATGTTGTAGTAGACAGGTGTTTATCATTGTATCTGTTCATTATTGAAAATACCTGGTATCTTAGAGGAATCATTACATGTACATTGTATCAAGAAAAATTTGGGCAAACGAAACAAATAGGCCAGCAAACATATAACTTGCATAAGACACCAGACAAAATCAATGGTCACAGTGTTAGCAGTGCATGGCAACCTGAAACAAAAGTCATCATTCCTACACAATAACGCATGCTACACCAAACAAGACATGGCAAAGTTAGATATTCTGTAGTAACACCAGTCATTAACCTGACAAAAGTTAGATATTCTGTAGTAACACCAGCCATTATCCTGACAGTTAGATATTCTGTAGTAACACCAGTCATTAACCTGACAAAAGTTAGATATTCTGTAGTAACCCCTGTCATTAACCTGACAGTTAGATATTCTGTAGTAACACCAGTCATTAACCTGACAAAGTTAGATATTCTGTAGTAACCCCTGTCATTAACCTGACAAAGTTAGATATTCTGTAGTAACCCCTGTCATTAACCTGACAAAGTTAGATATTCTGTAGTAACACCAGTCATTAATCTGACAGAGTTAGATATTCTGTAGTAACCCCTGTCATTAACCTGACAGTTAGATATTCTGTAGTAACACCAGTCATTAACCTGACAAAGTTAGATATCCTGTAGTAACACCAGTAATTAACCTGACAAAGTTAGATATTCTGTAGTAACACCAGTCATTAATCTGACAGAGTTAGATATTCTGTAGTAACACCAGTCATTAACCTGACAAAAGTTAGATATTCTGTAGTAACCCCTGTCATTAACCTGACAGTTAGATATTCTGTAGTAACACCAGTCATTAACCTGACAAAGTTAGATATTCTGTAGTAACCCCTGTCATTAACCTGACAAAGTTAGATATTCTGTAGTAACACCAGTCATTAATCTGACAGAGTTAGATATTCTGTAGTAACACCAGTCATTAACCTGACAGTTAGATATTCTGTAGTAACACCAGTCATTAACCTGACAAAAGTTAGATATTCTGTAGTAACCCCTGTCATTAACCTGACAGTTAGATATTCTGTAGTAACACCAGCCATTAACCTGACAGTTAGATATTCTGTAGTAACACCAGTCATTAACCTGACAAAGTTAGATATTCTGTAGTAACACCAGTAATTAACCTGACAAAGTTAGATATCCTGTAGTAACACCAGTCATTAACCTGACAAAAGTTTGATTTTCGGTAGTAAACCCTGTCATTAACCCGACACTTCAGATATTCTGATGTAACCCCTGTCATTAACCCAACAGTTTGCTCGCCCCTGAACAGTCAGGATAATTTTGAGGCAAGGTCTCCTTGGAGCATCTGGTGATTTCCTCGCTGGAGAATATTCAAGAGGCCAATCCCATGCCACCAAGAGTAATTAAGATAGAGTGTCTTGCACAAGGACACGATCAGGACAGCACTGAGCAGTCTATTTCACAGCCTCCTGAGAAACACAATCTGCTACTGATAGAATGTCGAACTACACACCTCATACCTTTCCCCTTTGATAATGTAGGCCAAGACTTCAACCAACCGAGCTATTGTGGCTCCTGAACTGGCAAAGTTAAATATTCTATGTATTACTCACTATACTAACACCAGCCATATGTTAACTGGTGAGTAAAGAACAATTCTGTGAATAACAGGAGATGTAAAATGCTATACAGATATTGTAGGCTGAAATTGACTGGAAATTGCTGGATCAATGACCAGATATTGAATTATTTTTTGTCTCCAAAAAAACAAGTGTTCTATAGAATATCTACATGCTGTCCTAAGTATATACAGCATCCAGGCATTGACATCGTGCGGAGTGTTACCTTTGAAAACTCGTTAGGATAGATGTAATCTGCCCCTGGCTCAGCTACTTCCTGGAAACCCATATGCCCAGTATCACAAAAAGAATGGCTTCAATCTTTTTTTCCCCAGTGATATTTTTATCATTAATCAAAACTAGAATAATTGCAGTATCAACATGTTTCAAGAAGTTTAAAGAATTTTAAAATTTGGTTTTAAAATGACTTGCACATCCTTCTTTAAATTCCTATTTATCAAATGTTTGACTTCATATTTAAAATTTCAATAAATCATTTCTTCATTCAAACAATAAATATTTTTCAGATTTTCAATGACATCAGAATAAACGATTTTGATGGAATAACTCCTGATGATTTTTCTTAGTTTCAATTAACTTAACTTAAAGAAAATAAAGAATCTCTACTTTTATTTTCTCTTTAATTACTAAACCATTTTACACATGTAGCAATATATGTTAAGTGACAAATCCTTTGTATTACTGTAAACATGGAAATTTATACCTGGAGAAATTCACACTAAATACACAGATGTCATTCAGCTGTGTAAATTTCTTGCATGTGTTAGATTTTATGAAGTGTTACATACATATTTAAATATACATCAAATATATAGGTATCTAAATAAACATTTAACATATATGAAGGTATATTGATTGTGAAAATAACCCCCGCACACACAGTATGCCAATTGATAATGTGACATTACCCCCAACCTACCCTGTCCCTGTGGAAATAACCATGTTTACACTAACAAATGTCCGATGGTCAATCTTTTTTGAGAATACTTCAGGAAAAACAAAAACTGATAGTCCTGGTTGATATTTAATCTTTTGATCAAAAGTTTTCCTACTAATTGGCATGTAATATTTATTGTCATGATTATCACAGAGCGTGAAGTCAGAACTTTTTTATCTCCTTCTCCCCGAAAGAGTTTGTAATTAATAACAGTACTTACAGCCCCTCTCTCCTCCACGAGTCGCTGACTGACAGGATATTTGAGGCGGACTTTGTTGTATAAAGGATTTTTCTCATAGTAATCCACAAGATCTACAAGGCTCTCAAACTCAGCTGATCCAATGACAAATAGACGCTCTTCATTCTGGATACGACAGTGCTTGATCTTACCATCGGCTCTGAAACATGGGAGGATTTTTCTCTGTTACTGACAATGTCTTTGATATCGCTATAGCAGTACCAGGTATGGCTTCTATATAATCCTAACATTGTTATTAAAACTTCACTCACTGTAAGGAAAAGAGCTACAGAGTATATGAAACCTAGATGTCAAAAGTACACATGAATATAAGTTTTTGTGTTTAACAAACTTCTATAGATACTTCAGCTTACTTAGAAAGTGATCTGTACTTAAAATCAGACCAATGCTAGTTAACTGGAAATCATGGGTTATAACAGACCTCCATCTATACAGATGGATAAACAGGCTGTTATACCAGTGTTTGTGAACAAATGCTCACAACTAAAAAAAAAGACCCTGACACGTCATATTTTTATATTCACCTGAATGAAATTGCATAAGAATCCTGATTTTTGACACTTCTACGAACAAGGAACGCTCCATCCCGTCCGATCTTTTTTAACATGTCTTCAGCCTGACTTCGATCAAGGTTGTTGTGGAACCATCTATAGGGTTAACAATGGAACAGTGAAAACTGATACTGTAAATCACTTATAACTTCCGAGGGATTTATTTACGTGTGAAAACAAGCGGAGAGTCAATCCCGAATTCAAATACCTTAATGATTTTTACAAATATCACATTTCTTGACGGCATTATGACTCCGTTCCTGATATCAGAGTCTTGCAGAGTCCAAGGTCTCTTACAGTTTATCATTTGTGAATTTTGAGTCATTTATATATCAGCATTAGTGAAATCATGTATTCATAGTTATGTCTTAAGAGGGAAGTTCGTAAAGCGGAGTATTCACCAAATCTTAGTTTGAAAAGCATGTCTATTTATGTAATTGACAAGAAAATTTAAAAAGATGTGCACATTTACAAAGTGATGTTATTTTCTATTTTACAATGCTTTCATCTCCTAGCTGCTCATCAAGCACATGCTCATGGCTCTAATTACTGACAAGCTAATTTATACTAACATCGAGATTGACTCTTTTTACCCCTGTACACTAGACACAGACACTTACTCTTTTCTCTCATGACTGACAAGTTGTGGAATCGGCTCCGACAGAATGGCAGAGAAATTTTGACTGCGAAGAGGGTTTGTGTGATAGAAGGTGATGAGTTCGTAAAGGCTATCGAACAGTGTGGTCTCAATCAGGAAGTACTTGGTGGAGCCCATCTCCTGTTTGGACTTGATACGACAGTGTTGTGTGGTTCCTTGCCACCTGTGGGTACAAACACGTTTATGACATCATCATTTTAGGTATGTAATGTGGTAATTGAGTGTACCATGAATTTACAACACCATAAACATTCAACATAATGTGACATATCATAAAATAACTTTAGGACAAGGATTCCTCTTCTGAAACGATTCAATATCAAGACTTAGTACAGATGTTTCTAAGTGAAGGCCACCCTTCACATTGCCAGACAAGTGATAGGAAGAGTCACAGAGCCAGAAAACCTGCAACTGACTAAATGCAGTTATAACTTATGAATACCAATGCCCAGTAAAAAAAAAAACCCCATAATAACTGATATTGAATCTTAGACTTTTATCCTAATAAATGCCTTTTTTATGATGAGAAAACTGGGAACATCAACAAAATAGGATAGATGTGATATCATAAAACACAATAACATAAAAAAATGGGTTCCACTGTACAGAATTACAATTTGGAAAAGAAATCTTTCAAATTTTATTTATAAAACATAACAAGATGAAATCCTACATGCTTAATACCTAATACTCTACAGCTCTCCTTCTATTTTACTAAAGCTGTGTTTAACATTTTATAAATCCTCTCCATTTATATATAGTAATACAGCAAGCGTTTCAGCAACATTTTAAAGCATACCAGAATGACAATGAGAAGTCTCCAACAAAGGTTTCACTCTCGCGGACCAGGAAAGCTCCATCACCCAGTGAGGCATACTCTCGTAGAAGTTCAACAGCCTTATTCCTACCTCCCTCTAACTTTCCATGGAACCACCGTTCGCTGAAGTGGAGTTCATCCTGGGGACGGTCCTACAACAATCACATGACATCTTAACAGGATGATATGGATATGCCACTGAGTTAACACTGGTTACTATGGTAACTGACAAACATCTCAAGTAATTATGCATTAACACCATTTACAAAAATCATATAAGACAGTTATTTTACATGCATAATTATGTTGTATTTCTTGTGACATGTATAATAATGGATGTTTACACTATTATCAGCACTTTTAAATTTCCACTTTCAAAACTGATATCTTTACAAATTTTACAATTCCAATTCTGAAGTTCCTTTTCTTAAATTCAACTATAGGATTAGAAATATTAGTGAAACAATACATGTTTATATGTGGTAAGTGTATTATATATGTACACATCAGGAACAAATTCAGTTTGAAATTAACTGTAATTGGTTCAGTGAGAACTTCATGAATGAAGAACTACATTGCTTCTATAAAACATTATCATAACTGTTTGTGTTGAGGAAATCAAAATCACACTAGAATGGTTTTAATGACCAATAATTACCTTTAAAAATAAGTTATTAATGACCAACACTTTTTTTTCGGAAATTCTTTAATTTCAAAATGAGTTTTTACATATTTTAGGCAACACTTTTCCATTTTACCAAATAATGGGAGACATTACATGTGTTAGAAAAACATGGGTTAGAAACAATAAAACTAGTTGATATTAATGGTAACTGGTCTTCTTATATTTCCAAAGTCTGAAAAGGGACAGAAGCCCCCTTCTTGTTTAGTGAAATTTAAGTGACAAAATATGATAGCAGGTATTGGGATGGTTAGATCATGTCTGTCACATAAGGGGAGATAACTCACCATCTATCAAACATAGATAAAGTGTCTGTTTTTTTTCAAATCCCTTCTGATATAGTTTGTATTCTGAACATGAGATCAATATTCACAAACATTGTCTATGAATTAAAACTAGACACCCTCACCATGAATATACCTTGAATATGAAAATTATCTATATCCTAAAAATTTTATCAAGGCATTCATTGTACATTGTACTGTATCTGATGTGGTCAAATTTTGAACAGTTTAATATGCTGACTCTGTGTTTGTGAATTTTACAAATTTGATAGTGGGATGAATTCAGATATTGAATGTTCGTGAATTTTACAAACTTAATTTCAGGATCAGTTGCGACTAAGTAAATGTGAATCCTGCAGACTTACTGGTGTAAAATTTTAAAGTTTCTAAGACTAATGGAGAATGTTAGTGTTTAACCCTGCACACACACACACACACACACACACACACACACACACACACACACACACACATACAACACATGTACACATATACACACTGTCAAATAGTTAGACAATTCTTCTAATGAAAACCACAAAAATCATTTTAAGTACCTGTGTACCTGTTGGTTTCTATATATAGGAGAAAAGGAAAAATTAATGAATTATCTTCAGGCATGGTAAGGAATTAGTAGTATACCATCACTGATCAGATTATATCAATAGAAAAGTCTTTTCCCTGCTGAAAATTACCTTTCAGAATCCTGTACTTATCATTTCACCTCAGGAGAAGATTCTGTTAATTAATTTCTTCTTAGGGAAAGAAGAGCTAAATTACTCTCAGAATCGGGAAAGATTTAGACATGGATGGACTTGATTTCCACAAGGATAGATTTGTCCCCTCAGGGATATGGATTTGACCCCACAGGGATAGATACAACCCCACAGGGATAGATACGACCCCACAGGGATAGATTTGACCCCACAGGGATAGAGTTGACCCTACAGGGATATGGATTTGACCCCACAGGGATAGATACGACCCTACAGGGATAGATACGACCCCACAGGGATAGAGTTGACCCCACAGGGATAAAGTTGACCCCACAGGGATAGAGTTGACCCGACGGGGATAGAGTTGACCCCATTGGGATAGAGTTGACCCCCACTGGTATGTTGTCAAACTCTAAGTATATTTTCCTGTACGATCCAGTTGATATTGTCTTTAGAACAGTGACCCCAGCAATCAACTAGGTCATCTTTACTAAAGAGAACATGTATTCTCAGTTTGATAGTATTTTGTGACATGTTCTAGAATCTTGCTGATAAAAAAACAATTCTGATACATGAACCCAAGTGGCCGTGACCTTTTAACCTTACTAGCACTTATACTTTCTCCATTGCAGCCATTTTCTGGTTTATGCAATTCTCTACCTGCAGAGATTTACCGATTTCCACATTCTTAGTTGACCAATAGACAGATGCACAGACGTGATACTATGTCAAATCCATAACAGAACATGATGGTAAATATTAACAGAACATGATGGTAAATATTATTCCTATTATTTCTGATAAAGACCCATGGTCTAAATTGTTAATATTCGAAAAGGAAAAGAATTAAAAGTATAATGCTGACAAAATTTAATATGGCATAAAACAATTCTAAAGAAGATCCTTTTTTCCCTTTATAGATAAAGTTACAGTGATAGTCACAGACTTACCTCATTGGTTACAGATCCATTGTCGTCCTCGCCATCATCCTCTTCCTGCTGATTTTGGTCCGTCTCCCCAGTGTAATGTAACTTTGTACTCGTCAACACAAAAAAGTGAGGATGCCATATCTGTCAGTTAAATATATAAAGAACGGACATTAAATAATTTCAAGTTTATGTATCAGAGGTCATTTTTCATCTCAATGCCTCCGCTAGGAATCGAAACCCGGGACCCCTGGCTTACTAGTCTGACGCTCAACCAATCGGGCTAAAGAGAAGTTCTCTCTAGCGGCTAGTATTTTACCAGGGTCACATATACACCGAAATACAAACTTAGCATACAACATCATATTAACAGTGGAGGGAGAGAGATCACCATACAGTTAGTCAAGTGTGTAAACATTATCTGGAAGGCAGAGAAACTGAAACAACATCATATTAACAGTGGAGGGAGAGAGATCACCATACCAGTCAGTCAAGTGTGTTAACATTATCCGAGAGAATTACGCAGAAAAACTGAAACATCATCACATTAACTGAAGAGAGAGACAGAAACTCCCAATCAATGAAGGTATAAAAACACAGAAACTTAACATAAACACACTTTCTTAAGATCTTACATTTTCAAAGGGATCTTCCAGGTACAAAACTCCTGTTTTCACGGCATTGTTCATATCACCTTCCCGTCCCGCTGTCAACAGAAATATCAAAATACTGAACAAACTGAAAAGCAAAAGTTATTAACAACAAAGTACTTGAAGTACTGTACTGCTGGTTCTAGAAGAAAGAATAGAATTGATCAGAGAATGCAGAACATTTGAAGCATTTCGTTAATTTTTAGTTTGTTTTATCATGAACCTCTGATATGCATGCAATCAGAAGTAACAAATAACTTTTCATGACCAATGGCTGAAGTATTAGGTCAAAGCTTGAGGAGTTAGAACAGAAAAAATACAATTTGTTACAAATAAGCAGACAATATTGACAAAAAATAAACATGCAGAATGTGACTTATCTTAAAACAAAATAATAAATATAATTTCTCATAGTTCAGAAATAAACACATTATCTTCATCTATCACAACAACTAATTCAAATGCTTGAAATCATAATAAATCTTTTCACCAGTAGTGTAAAACAACACAAGCAACAGTATTGCAGAAATGACAACAATGAATTTTTAAGCAAGAGAATACATAGCAATGCAGATTGGTACAATAATTTATAGAAGACTGTACAGCCTTGCATACTGCTAAAACAATTTTTTTATAATCTCTTTTAAATGGTGTATTTAATTCCATCTAAGTTCAAAAGAAATCTGACCAAATATTCATTCCTAAGACCTTGGGAAATACTTTTCTTTTTACAAATGTAGAAAGTCAATTCTTTTGGAGAAATCCGTGAAGTGTAATAGAAATTTGACACCCAGTGACAAAACTCAATGAAGTGTAATAGGAATTTGACACCCAAAATAAATGTGCTAGATAACCTAACTGTGAGCAATGTAAACTTGAAAAATGTTTCAAAAAGGATTTCCCAAAAGATTCTCTAAATTAATTTTTCAAAGCTGATTTATTCTGATAGATATTCTAACACTTAACCCCTTTCTACTGTCTATCTGAAATGTCCATATGTCTTAACATAACAAGCATCTAGACGCATACACTGTGTATTTATTCTATTCAACAGTGACTATACTTATGGCTAACAGACTAACATGCACATCAGCACATCAAACATCAACTCAATAAGCCAAGCAAATGCTATGGGTAGATTTTCACTATGGGTATATACATGTAACGCTAACTCACACAGGCATAGCTACAAATAAATGTTATTGAATCATAGCTACAGGGGTGTGGCTATATTGGTTGATAATTTTGAGCTGAATGGGTGTGGCTATAATGGTAGACAACTTTGAGCTGAAGGGGTGTGGCTACATTGGTAGATGCCTTTGAGCTGAAGGGGTGTGGCTATAATGGTAGACAACTTTAGGCTGAAGGGGTGTGGCTATATTGGTAGACAACTTTAAGCTGAAGGGGTGTGGCTATACTGGTAGACAACTTTGAGCTGAAGGGGTGTGGCTATACTGGTAGACAACTTTGAGTTGTAGAAGTGTGGCTATATTGGTAGACAACTTTGATCTGAAGGGGTGTGGCTATATTGGTAGACAACTTTGAGTTGTAGAAGTGTGGCTATATTGGTAGACAACTTTGATCTGAAGGGGTGTGGCTAGAAGTGTTGCTATATTGGTAGACAACTTTAAACTCAAGGGGTGTGGCTATATTGGTAGACAACTTTAAGCTACAGTGGCAGGGATACAATGGTAGATCAATTTCAGCTGTATGGGCATAGCTATACTGAAAAACACATGTAAGAGAGAGCTTTAGTGGTAGAGGCTATAGGTAGATAGATGTGCCCGAGAGCATTATTGATAGATTACACTGAGCTGGTTAACACTGAAAGGAGCTCTAGTAATTTTACTTATCTTGTATTGCATCTAAGTAAATTGATATATTTAAAAGATATTTTACAGAAAAATGTGACAAGATGAGCAATTGAGCAACACAATAAACCTTGATATCTATCAGATAGACTACAGTCTAAAACCAAACCAAAACAAAAAACTCAAAAAGTGTAAATAGGAGAAAAAAGTTGGCAATCAAACCGGATATATTCATTTCCTTGTCATCTTTTAGTAATTGAATATTTACACACTATTTTACTGTGGCAATTAAAAACTATTGGCTAGTTTTGTTTCTACTGATAGATACTAAACAGGGATGTAACTGGTACAGTTGTAAACCTGTTTATAAATCACTTCCTCAGCACTTGACATCTGATTCCAGCAACCACTAGTCTGCATCTACTATTTGACTTACTATCATCTGTCTAGAGTAGCGACTTTTCAATATCTACATCATATCTAACTAATTCTTGCCTAGAACAGTCACCTGTCTATAACTACCACCTGCCTATACCTACCACCTGTCTACATCAACCACCTGTCTATAACTACAACCTGTCTATATCAACCACCTGTCTATAACTACCACCTGCCTATACCTACCACCTGTCTATAACTACCACCTGTCTACATCAACCACCTGTCTATAACTACAACCTGTCTATATCAACCACCTGTCTATAACTACCACCTGCCTATACCTACCACCTGTCTATAACTACCACCTGTCTATATCAACCACCTGTCTATAACTACCACCTGCATATACCTACCACCTGTCTATAACTACCACCTGTCTATAACTACCACCTGTCTACATCAACCACCTGTCTATAACTACCACCTGTCTACATCAACCACCTGTCTATAACTACCACCTGCCTATACCTACCACCTGTCTATATCAACCACCTGTCTATAACTACCACCTGCCTATACCTACCACCTGTCTATATCAACCACATGTCTATAACTACCACCTGTCTGTAACTATCACCTGTCTGTAACTATCACCTGTCTGTAAATATCACCTGTCTATATCAACCACCTGTCTGTAAATATCACCTGTCCATAATTATCAACCTGTCTATAACTACCACCTGTCTATATCTACCATCTGTCTATAATTACCACCTGTCTATAACTACCACCTGTCTATACCTACCAACTGTCTGTAACTATCACCTGTCTATAACTACCACCTGTCTATAACTACTACCTGCTTATAACTACCACCAGCCTATAACTACCACCTGCCTATAACTACCACCTGTTTATAACTACCACCTGTCTATAAATACCACCTACCTATAACTACCACCTGTATATCAGTACGACCTGGCTATATCAACCACCTGTCTATAACAAAGGCTTGCCTTTATCAATCACCTGTTTATAGCTACTATATATACCATTTGCCTATAACTACCACCTGTCTATACCTACCACCTGTCTATAACTACCACCTGTCTATAAATACCACCTACCTATAACTACCACCTGTATATCAGTACGACCTGGCTATATCAACCACCTGTCTATAACAAAGGCTTGCCTTTATCAATCACCTGTTTATAGCTACTATATATACCATTTGCCCATAACTATCACCTGTCTATACCAACCACTTGTACATAACTTTCATCTGTCTATAATTACCGCCAGTCAATCAGTTATCTATAATTTCTACTTGTCAATAACTACTACCTATGTCCCTAGCTTCAATCTGTCTATAAATACCACTTATCTCTGTATCTACCACCTGTCTGTTAACATCACCCATTAACCACTCTAGCACCAGTCTGTTAACATCACCCATTAACCACTCTACCTCCTGTCTGTTAACACCACCCATTAACCACTCTACCATCTGTCTGTTTACACCATCCATTAACCACTCTACCTCCTGTCTGTTAATACCACCCATTAACCACTCTACCACCTGTCTGTTAACACCACCCATTAACCACTAATACATGCCTAAACCAAAACACCAATCTACTCCTTAATAACAATGATTGTATGACATTCCCTTATAGATAAATAGCCCCTGTGCTCCATTAGTGTTGAGTTTGGGGAAAGTGAAGTTTGAGGAAGGAAATCAAACCAGAAAAGGATAGAATAAGGATGACTTGGTAGTAGTGTCATTGTATACATATCTAATGGAAAGTGAAGGTTAATAACTGGTAAAATCTCACTGACTTGGCATATCTGTAAGGAATCAGGTTAGACAACATAACAGATATAACACTGACCTTTACATAAATATCAGGTTTATTGGACACAAAATATTAATTCTAGAATATCCTGATATTTTAGCTTAGTGTTTACTGAAAGTCTTTGGTTTTACCATCCAATCTACCAGTTGGTTTATAAACTATTAAAGTATACAACAGTCTATGAACTGTATCTATCCTGCAATGAACCAATACCAGGTAATAAGCCTAGAAATAGACATTCCTGTCCAAATAGTATTCTTTCATTGTCCTATAAAATGCCCCGACTTTAAAACAGTGGTGATGTATTGTCACCTTGGTATTAGGATAACTCTAACTGTAGGGTTAGAGTCATTTAAATCCGCATAAGGTTTCACCATCCAAACAAATATAAGGATGAATGCATCAGAAATTTTAAATTGATCCAATATTTTTTGCTTTTTAATATTTTTTTTTTTCGTGTTGATTATCATTTCCACATATTTTCTATCAACAAGAAATGATACTTGGTATCCTGATCAATATGTAATTAATGAAAGTTCCTTTATTACCTGTTCCACAAGAGAAAAAAACCTTTGCAATGTAACTCAGTAGGAATGACACGATACAAAATTCATACAAAGCAAACATAATTAGATAAAAGCTGTTAATATCATAATACAATGAAAGCCTAGACAACATGCATTTGTTAAGTAAATATACAATCATGCAGAGTCACAATCAACAGCATAACCTCATTTTTATCTATAAAACATAAAACTATAACAATATGATAACAGGAATCTTCCAATTCATGGTTTTTACCTACATTAGTCATTTCTGATAAAAACTTGAAGCTGTGACAGTTTTTTTTAAACAAATATCATATTCATTAGCTACACACTATTAAGACTCTATAGATTTATTGTTCTACAGAAGAAGATATCCTGATGAAGAAAAGAACAGATTTTACATTGTACACCAAATAATGGTACAAGTTTAAAGTTATTACATATTTGATGAGCTTGAGTTTACCTTATACAAAATTTAGCTATTTAAGAGCCTAAGGACCTAATTATTGATACCAAGTAATACCTGTACAATGTAAGAATGTGTATAAATATGTAAACCAACTTTCTTTCATAGATACCAACTTTTGCAATATATATATCTTACTTTCATCCACTCTATCCACAACACATTCTGCAGCTCCACCATCTTTCGGCAGATCCAGCTTTTTATGCTGAAATCACAAACATCAGTTAAATAAATTACATAAACAACGATAAAAATCATGATGCTAATTGTACTGATGTTTTTCCATATAAGCAAATTATTACAAAACAAAATATAACATAAAAGCCCAATTTAGGGGGACAGCGTGAAATACCAGGGCTAAATGAACATACAGGCTTTATTCCCAGAATTTCCATGGTTACAGCCTAGGTCAGAAGGATAGGGGAGACTATCAGTGAAAAAATAAATAGAAGATTTCAATGTTCCAACAAGGGAATGAGAGTCAAATTTCATCTCCGTGGTCTCCAAGCACGAAAATTTAATTCAACAGAGAGCCCCTACTTTTGATAACTTCTGACATCATACCGTGGAATGTAGCACATTTCATTTTAATGACCATGCATCTGTAGGCTGTTATGTCTATATACTGTGTAATCTGTAAACCAACTTTCACAGATACCAACTTTTGCAATTTCAGCAATACAATGCTTTCTTAGGGTGATATACTTTAACAAATTCTGAACCACTGTAGACAAATTGGATATGCATTGTCAACATTTTAACTCCAAGCTGAAGACCCATTTATCAGCGGGAAGTTTGCCATGAGTCATGTGAGGGACATGGGTCAGTTAGTGACCTCCCAATGAACCAAAACGATTTCTGACACTTCATTAGCAGCTACGTGGCACAATACCTCAAAGAATAACCCAATATAATAAACTTCAAAAAGTAAATTCAGTAAGGGTAGCAATCACAACAGCATCAGGGTGGGCGCTTCAGTTTATTCTGTGGTAGTCGACCAGTTGGCCAGTTATTAATTGACAAAGTTTAATAATAAAATGCAGGCTGATAATCCATGTTTAATTCACAATGACAGCTTTTTGTGATTTTGATTGGATCAAGAAATTTGCGAAAGGAAGTTGGTTTACAGCAGATAAAGTTGTACAACTCTATCACAGAAGCAATTTACCTTCAGGATAACTTTACGCTTTAGTTTCTCTGGAGATGGCAACTGGTGTGGGTCTCCCTCTACTGGTTCCACCAATAGGTCAGCTGTAAAATCAAAGATATCGTTTATTATCACATTAAACAGCTTTATATCATAGAGTATTGTAAAACGTTAGCATATGTGGGTATAATCTGTGGGTGTAATCTCTATACCAAAAATATGATTTGAACCATTGAAAAAAGCCAGAATTCCAGGTCATTTTCATTTAGCTGGACCAAGATATTCATTTACAAAATAAGGACAAACTCAATGATCTTTGTTTGCTTTCTGATGAGTGTCAATATCTGCAGGTTTGTCCCAGCATCAAATCATGCATTCAAAATATTGAGAAAAAAAAATTGTATAAAGAAAGCAGCTAAAACTGACTACTAACTGCTAAATGTGTGTCTCATATGACCTAAAGTCAATTTACAAAACATTCATAATACCGTTTTGCATTGTACAGCATTTCTGATTATCAACGCCAACAGCTGACAAAGTCAAGACTAGATCTCATATACACCACTTACCCCCGAACACGTATACGCCACTTACCCCCGAACACGTGTACGCCACTTACCCCCGAACATGTGTACGCCACTTACCCCCGAACACGTGTACGCCACCTACCCCCGAACACGTGTACGCCACTTACCCCCGAACACATGTACACCACTTAACCCCGAACACATGTACACCACTTACCCCCGAACACATGTACACCACTTACCCCCGAACATGTGTACACCACACCACTTACCCCCGAATACATGTACACCACTTACCCCCGAATACATGTTCACCACTTACCCCCGAATACATTTACACCACTTACCCCCGAACACATGTACACCACTTACCCCCGAACACATGTACACCACTTACCCCCGAACACGTGTACACCACTTACCCCCGAACACATGTACACCACTTACCCCCGAACACATGTACACCACTTACCCCCGAACACATCTTTAAAAGCCATGGCCATATTTCTTTGCTGACCAAGGCAACAATGGTTTTCAATGGACAGAATAAGAGGGTACCTAAAAAACAAGACATCACAAAAAGATTTTAACAACAGAGAGATGTATCTTCTCAATTCATTTTTTAGACATCAATTTGAAAGTTGATTTGAAGACTGCATAATATCATGGTGTTCAAATTCTGTAACAAAACTCTAAATTATTTTTTTAGAAACACATTCTCTCACAGTTAATATACACAATGACCCTCCCAGTTAATATTGGAAGTGACCCTCCCAGTATATATTGCCAATGACTGTACCAGTTAACATCGCTAATGACCTTCCCAGTTAACATCATCAAAGACCCTCTGAGTTTATATCGCCAATGACCCTCTCAGTTAAATGACATTTTTTAAATTCCTACAGCTTTATGACACTTCAATTATGGAAGTGTTAAATATCAGCAAGTTCTAAGTCATTAAACATCTCAAACATTGCTTGCCAAAAACACATACTCTGATGCGACCCAGGCATGTTCCTTGATGGATCTGAGAACATCAAGGAATCGTATTCGTGTTGTGAGGGTGTGACCATGGTATATACTTGGTAAACCGTCTGGGCCATCCCAACAGTCCACTGTTTAAGTAAAATCCAAAATATGTAGAATTAAAATAAAGAATATGGTGGAAGGTTTGAGGAATCAATTGCTACAGAATTACTGAATTAAATTACCCAGTAGGTAAATACAAAAATATGACAAAATCATCAAAAAGACATTTTACCTCATATCTGGCCAGTTGTGTTTGGCCATATAGAAATGTCATTAATATTGTAGGACACACGTAGCAATACTGTTGTGTTGTCATAAATAAGGAAATAATTTAAATGATAAACAGAATCTTACACTTGTGCGAAAATAATATGAAATTTATTGAAGTCCATATTAATTAAATCATTTGATATGTCTACAAATTATCAAATCACTGAACTCATTTAATAAATTCCATATTAAGTCAACACTATGTTAGAGCATGGATGTATATTTAGTAGGAAAAAAAAAAACTCCTAGTGAAGAGCATATTAGTGAAAGTTTTTTTCTTTTTGAATAGAAGTAACAAAGGAGTTGAAAATAGCATCTGCTAATGAATTGTAAAGATTAAAAGACTAATGTTTCCTTACATTCTATACATCTACAGCCCATACGGAGACAGCGTACATAAGCTTCTGTTGATGAATCACTTGATACTTGGTCCCCTGTAAGGTATCTGTAAAACAAACCAGCAAGACAATGACAATACTAGGTTATATGTATACTAAAATTAGGCAACACTCAACTGTTATCCAGTATGTGTTATGTGAGGATGTTATCCAGTACTTACGTGTTATGTGAGGAGGCTATCCAGTACATGGACAGCGGCTGAGTCATGTCCTGATTAATCTTATCATGCTTTTCATCCCAGATTGAGTTGTCTTTAGAGAACAGGTAGTCTTCAAACTGTAGGAAAAGGAATTGATGTTCAGTGCTGCTAGCTTGTGTGATACTTTTGTCTATAAATTAATACACTGTTACACAAACCATGTTTCTTTTGCATGTGATTAACTTTCACAAATTCTATGACTGAAACAAACTGACAAAAGATGATTGTTGCAAATTAAGAGAGTTGTGTAGAGTTAAAGTGCTGTTATAGTCTGTTTCACAAACTTACTCGCTAGAAACTTTTGATTTGGAATTTGCAAAGTAAGCAGATTTATCATATACTCCAAAATCAATTAAAAATACCTGCATGTCAATCTTTCAACACTTAATCAATTCATGGACAAACAAAATCATCTATCTTACAGCTCCATTCTACTATGGAAATAAATTAGTTTCCTATTTCAAGGAACCTGATACCATGAAAAAAACAATGTTCTAATTGAAAAAAAAACTGATTTTAAAATGTCAAAGTTAACCCATGTAAATAAATTTCAATCACACCGTGTTCACAATAACAACCTTTTAAGATTTCCAGCTTTTCCTACCGAGATCTAGATTACATCTGAAATCTGATGGAATCAGTTTACACTGGTCTTTGATACTACACATTTCATTATTCAATACAATATCTTACAAAGACCTACCTCCATATCAGTAAAATATACATTGTTTTTGTGACGGATTGGATCTGCGAGGAATTTCACCATCATCTCTTTCACAGGAACAATGTTGTCTGCAAAGTTCTCCTACATGACAGAAAAAGTTATTATCAGCCAATTACTGTAAACATATCTAAGCAGTGATTTTACTTAAGCACTTTTTGTGAAATTCTGTTATTCCAATAGATGAAGAACTTTAAAAAATTTTATCAATTCCTTCATACGGCTCTGCTCCTCATGAACCCTCTGAACCCAGACCCATTGTATATAATGTTTATACAAAATCGCTTCCTCTACCCCAAAGGATGCTTCTGACCAAATTTTGTCAAAATTCACTTTGTCATTAATGGCCAGCTTTAATTTTTTCAGAAAATCTGGTTGCTGAACAGATGGATGAAAAATGATAGACGTTTGCCTTCAGAAACAGTGAACATAAAAAAGAATACCCTCTAAAATGACTATTTAATTCAGTTCTTAATAAATTGATATGAAAGGCTTACCTTTTGTTCATGTTTTAGAAACTGCTGAAATTTTTCTGGATTAACAATTCTGAAAACAAATATTTTACATATGAATTATTTAACATATTCATTTTATAATTATGTAACAACTAATACTTTTCCACACACATGTTACATTTATGTATATTCTGTTACTGATCTAAGAGAGAATAAACAGAGAAAGTTACAAAATAACAGTTCCAATGATAGCACTTTTCCTGTTAAAATTTGAAATAACGAAATGCTGATGAGAATTAAATATACTTTGTGACAATTGTTATACTTGCTGCAGCTTGGTTCTGTGATATCCTACATAACATTATGTTTCTGATCCACCATATTGCAGATACTTACCTGTTTGGACAGTCTAGGTAAAACTCTATATAATTGGTAATAATCTGTAGAAAGATGGAAATCAGTAACTGTCACACAGTGAATAAAACAGCAGGCGACAAATATGTATTTTTTTGAACTTCGGACATGTATAAATGTGGAAGTGATGGTACAACAAAACGTCGGCACCAATAGTACTACAATTAAGAGACAGAGCCCTCCTTAGTAAGAGATTATTTTGATTTATGTAAAGGACTGGAATGTTTTAGCAGCTCACTACAATAATGAAATTTGGTGATAAATATATTGTTCTGAAAATTAAAAAAACTGATTCCATTTTTTAAAGCAAAAATCAAGGAAGGAGGCCAGGACTATTTCTGGGGACTCGGTGAGGTCAAATGTGGGCCCCATCCACAATTGGATTGATATCATTATAAGGCTGAATTCTCAAAATATATACTGGTAGCTTACTCCTTCAAATTTCCTTACCAGTTGATCAATATCTTCACAAAAAGAAGTAGTAGGTAAATTATTTGTACATTAAACACACTTATTGCAGTAAATTGGGCTGATTAAATGCAGTATACACACCACAGGTATAAACACAAGCCGGTGGAACAGCAGAGCAAACTGCTCAAACACCAGTTCTTCTTTCCCACCTTCTTCTACAATTTCCTAAAATAACAACATAATCTATTAATACTTGGGAAATAAATCCATTTGATTTTCAATAGCTTATCACTTTTAAGTCAATAATTAAACTTTGTACAAACAATACCAATTTTTTCTTTGTAGAAATACAGTGTTTTAAAGACATGTATTTTAATTTTTTGGAAATATGGCACAAGATAAAAACCCAAATAAGCTGCTTGTCTCAATAGAAATGTTTTTAACAAATAAATTCCCCCTCCCTGCAAATTAGTATCAATATTGGACAAATCTCCATGAAAGTGTCTGTGACTATAACCTTAACCCTAAACCCAAAACAAGAACTTATCAGAACTCATCTGTTTCAATGTTGTAGTATTTTTGCATTTTATGAAAATCCATGTCATCATGTGTTGTCCTGCAGCTCATACTCTGATCATGGCTGTAAGAGTTAGTCAGCCCATCCCCTGATCATGGCTGTAAGAGGTATTCAGCCCATCCCCTGATCATGGCTGTAAGAGGTATTCAGCCCATCCCCTGATCATGGCTGTAAGAGGTATTCAGCCCATCCCCTGATCATGGCTGTAAGAGGTATTCAGTCCATCCCCTGATCATGGCTGTAAGAGGTAGTCAGCCCATCCCCTGATCATGGCTGTAAGAGGTAGTCAGCCCATCCCCTTATCATGGCTGTAAGAGGTAGTCAGCCCATCCTCTGATCATGGCTGTAAGAGGTATTCAGCCCATCCCCTTATCATGGCTGTAAGAGGTAGTCAGCCCATTCCCTGATCATGGCTGTAAGAGGTATTCAGCCCATCCCCTGATCATGGGTGTAAGAGGTAGTCAGCCCATCCCCTGATCATGGCTGTAAGAGGTATTCAGCCCATCCCCTTATCATGGCTGTAAGAGGTAGTCAGCCCATTCCCTGATCATGGCTGTAAGAGGTAGTCAGCCCATTCCCTGATCATAATATATAAGGTCAGCTAGCCAACACTATACCTCTCTATAAGGTAGGCCAGTCCATCCTATACCTCTCTTATAAGGTAGGCCAGTCCATCCTATACCTCTCTATAAGGTAGGCCAGTCCATCCTATACCTCTCTTATAAGGTCAGCCAGCCAACACTATACCTCTCTATAAGGTAAGCCAGTCCATCCTATACCTCTCTTATAAGGTCAGCCAGCCAACACTATACATCTCTATAAGGTAAGCCAGCCACCCTATACCTCTCAATAAGGTAAGCCAGTCCACCCTATACCTCTCTATAAGGTAAGCCAGTCCATCCTATACCTCTCTTATAAGGTCAGCCAGCCAACACTATACCTCTCTATAAGGTAAGCCAGTCCACCCTATACCTCTCTATAAGGTAAGCCAGTCCATCCTATACCTCTCTTATAAGGTCAGCCAGCCAACACTATACCTCTCTATAAGGTAAGCCAGTCCATCCTATACCTCTCTTATAAGGTCAGCCAGTCGACCCTTTACCTCTCTTATAATGTCAGCAAGTCAACCCTATACCACTTAATGTGGTATGCCAAACCCTATACCTCCTTATTTGGTCCTGTGAGTCCATCTTTTATCTCTTTGAGAGATGTTTAGAACAGAACTTTACCTGGAAACGTTCCCTGAGTTTATTGGTTGGAATCTTTGTGTTAACGCGCTGCATCCATGCCTTCATAGTCTTTAACGTCACCCTGTTAATAAAAACTATGATTTATACACATATGCCAATGTACATTTCAATTAATACAAATTCCTTAGAAGTTATTCTTGAACAAGACAGCACAATAAATCATTCACTTACATTTGTTATCCTGGTGGCAGGATTTAGAAATGGCAGCCCCCAGAAATATTGGGACATATAGAGAAGAAATTTGATAACTTTGATTCATTGTACATGTACCAGTAATGCAAATTTAAAAGCTTTTTGAATATTTGAGTACTTGAATATACCATATGTGGTTCTTGAAAAGAAAAATTTTGAAATTTCAATCGATAAAGATATGAATGAATTGAATCAAAAGTTTACAGATGGACTACGACAGACAAAAATACAGCATAATAAGTCACATAAGACTTTGTCTCATTTCACATAATTTCACCGAACAAATAAGACTGATGTAACTCTATTCTTGGTGAATTAAAATTGTCGTACTGCAAGTCTGACTGCATCAGCACTTGAAATGTAGAAGGAACTGAGCTTAATGCAAAGTTTTGAAGTGGAGTAAGCAGTGATCCATTCCCTGCTACAGACTGAAGTTTGTAATATAGGTAATTGATCAAAATAGTAGATATGTGTTGTTTTCCAATATATGATCTAACTATGTATATGTACTAATTTGGACAAGGAAGAAAGTCACACCTTAGTTGTGCTCTTGTGACTATTTGCTGTAACTGAGACAAAAACTCGTGGTAAGTCACCTGCTTGATATAACTACACAGTATATACCAAATTTTATGCTTCAAATACTCAGTAACTTTTCACGGTCAATGCACTTTTGATGTGAACATCAACAGGAAATCAACGGTTTACTTCTAATTTCATCATTAATTACGCTCAGACAAAAGAATAAAATCAATCATAAATTAAAGAGAAATGTCGCTTAATCAGGAAAACTTTACTTATATATCTGTACCTGTACTCTCACCTATAACACAATATATTATTACTTATATACTTACACGTCACTTCCAGCCTTGTCTATAAGACAGAATTCCCGTCGCAGCCATCTAGGAATAATGATGAGAAATCATTTAACCAAAACAATCTAAGTTATTATAAAACACCTAAAGTAACCAACATGAACCTAGCAGTAAATGAGTGGAGAAGGAACTAGGCATATCTGTAGGACAAAATGAGATGTTATAATGCAGCTTTTCCATATTGTTGACTTTTTAACCATTTACTGCACACTTTTCAGACTCTGTCAAGTTTTGGTTGACCAAAACTGATGTTCAAAGATTTTTATAGCTTAAAATGAGCAAAAGCTGAGGATTTCTTGAAATTCTCTACATCCAAATGCCTTCACTATTAAACAAGCCATATGCAGCATTTAGTTATTGCATTGTGTGATGTTTTATAATTACCTTTCCAGCTGGTGCTGATAGGGAGCATTTTTGGCACTTTTTTCCAACCAATCCAGTCCCGACTTCCATCGTTTAAAGTCGTCAGGGGAGGATGCTGAAGCCAGAAAAAATATATATATATATGAACAGGTTCACTAGGATTGTCTAAACTCACAAATAATAATAACAATCAACGACATGCATATTCACTAAGTCAGTAGTGTGAACATGTGAACACTTTAGTTTTTGTATGTTATATTCTTTCAGCACAAATCTCTGACAGTTCGTTCCTAACTTTCCTTTTTTTATCCTCTAAACGTATGGATTATTATGGACTATCAAACCATCAGTGTGATAAATTAAAACCTACCAACGACAGACAGAGTTTTCAGCTTAAAGTTATTGCCATATATAACGATGAAACAGAGGTTGTTGTCAGCTTTCCTCGCCTCATCAGGCCATTTGTCAAAGTCTTTTGAATTCTTCTCTTTTGCTCTGACCTCCTTCACCTCCCGCAAATTCACTGGAAATAAAACAATTTGAAATGTCTGTTATTTGTTGTTCATAATTGATAACAATAAATTAGCAGTTAATTACAATGTATAATATAGATAATGATATTGCATCTTACAACTATCAATTCGGCATTACAACTGTAGGTGTCTCCGTGTCTAAGATTTGCTCTGTCATATTTGTAGTAGTTCTATATCCAAATTCATACAAAATTATACAAAATATGTTCTTATTCTCTCTTAAGGATGGTCCTGACCAAATTTGGTCAAAATCTCCTCAGTTGTTTATGAGCAGCTGCGTTTTTTCGAAGAAAAAGTTGACAGACGACGGACGGAAGACAGACCATGCGGTATCCCTAAAAAACTTTATAAAATATTTTTACTAATTTAATGATAATTCTCCTTCCAAAGTTTGGCTTCAATACTTGGACTGGACCTTAGAAGATAGGGAAGTTACCATTGACATACAAATTAACAATTAAAATTGAACTAAACTACTTATACCCTATCTATGCTAAACTGAACCGGACCAAGATATTTGTTCAAATTATACAAGTGGTCAGTTCAGAGGATGTCTGTAGATCTTGGATATGCTCTTTTATATAGACCTCTAGGCATTTGATAAATATAGACACTATTCTAGATATCTAGGTATAACTGCCTCGATTGCACATTATTCTAGCTATCTCACATTTTATTTTCATGGATTTAATTCAATGTTTGTCATGGTCTTTATGAGGGTGTCATGAAGAGTTTGTACCTGTAGATGGCACAGCGTTCTATTTCTGTCTAGGTGGGTGTGTCTAAATCCTAAGGCTTTACATTCAGGAAGGTGTTTAGGTATAAACCCATATCTTTATTAGTCCTTCATACTATCGTACAGAGATAGCCAACGTCAATAGTCAGACCATGATATAGTCCCAATATAAATTTTACTACAAGGGAAAGACAAATACAGGCTTATATCCTAATGTCACACAAAGGCTTCAACCAGCACACAGTAATACTTCAATAATGCTTAGATTGATATCTAGAATTATGACCTTACTTTTTATACCAGAGCAACAGGTGTATGCATGTCTGTGCATTTGGTCCATATAAGCTTGGGAAAGAAAAGACCTCTTAATGATATATATATGCTAAATCTAAACTGTTTTCCTTTCCTTATGGTTTGTCCCTATTACAACACTTCCAACTTTTGTATACCTGCTCTGTTTTCACAGTATTTAGCCATTATCTAATCAAGGAATGAAATCACATTAATGACACGTATGGCTCAGCTCCTGTACATGCATACGAGCACTAGTATTATTTATTTATAAAATTGCAGAAGTTGTCAAATACCGGTATGATCTTTGACCTTTTAGCTTGACCAATGACCTTCTTCTATGTTATATAATTAAAATAAGACGTAGAACTTTATGTTATGATGCTATAAGAAAAATATCAAGCTGGTATGTTTAGAATTTGAGCTTTTCAATATTTGGCATTGATTCAGAATGGAAATGGACAGGAAGGACCAGACTGTTGGCCCTATGGTTTCCCCATCCTTCTGCTCAATAAGGGCATATACATGTACATGTGATATGGGCCAACATATATAATTCTTGTTCATGTATTTTCTTATTCTATATTAAAAAAAATGAAATTCTGTGTCCATACGATGCCTCTGCCATTTTACTTCCTTATATATATCCACATGTTAATCTGTTTTTAGAAAAATATGTCCTTCCTTCTCAGATGAACAAACATTTAATACTTGTCTATTTCCTCCACTCAGAACTTCCTATACACATTGAATAAAACAATGGTTCTTTTATTTGAATTCCCAGTTTGATTGTATGTACTTATAAGTGCAATTTCTGTTTTCTAATATCTCTGTCTTTCAAACTTCCAGATAACTAATGTACTTGATCTTTAGGAGATAAAAACTAAAAATGAATTTACCATAAATCTTATTTTAACCTGTATTTAAAGTCGAAAATTTCTTTTATTTATTAAGACCAGGAAATATTTTTGTAGTCTAATTAAAATTTCCTGTCAGTCAATGGAACTCATGTGTCCAGCCATTCAGGATATAGGCTATAACATTACCTAAACTCTCAAATGATACACAAATAAAAATAGACTTTTCCAAAAAGACTTGTATATGTGAACAAACCACAATCACATTTTATAGTAGTATATATACTATATACAACCCCTTACAGATCTCAGTTCACTGATGTTGGTGTAAGTGTGTCGACACTTCAAACATTATCAATGTTGAAATGATAACAGGTTCGACGCATTGTACACCTTAATTACCTAGGGACAAACCTTTACTTGTTTCCAAGCAAGACAAACTGAAAGTCTGTATTTCCTCATACATCAAGACCATTTCCATCTCAACTGACATATCAAAAGTATTTTGAAAACAATAACTTATTTCAATACTTCTTAAATATCAATTTGACATCCTTTTAACTTTCATTGTCAGTTTTAAAGGTGACCAGACAGTTTAAAAATTTACTGGCAGCCCTAGACAGTTACAACCAAAATGGAATCCTTATAAATGATTTGATTGTTCTGGGCAAAGTCTCATTCATTATTATGAAAATTTCCGCAAAGGTCTCACCATGTTAGGCTGAGTGTGAGTGTGCACCCGCGTGATGCAAAGTCAAGTTTGATATTTCTATAGGTCTCACCAAGTTAGGCTGAGTGTGAGTGTGCACCCGCGTGATGCAAAGTCAAGTTTTATATATCTATATGTAATCATGATTACTACACATGTATTTATAATCATGCTCACCATCCAGACAAGAACACACTTATAAAAAGTTAACAACATAAAGATATTGCTTTAAAGCAGAGCCAATTTCTGTGTAAATTAATCACCTTATAATAGTTTCAAATTCTTATTTGTAAAGTTAAATTGCCATGAAACTGAAACCGATTTCTGTAATGACAGTCTTGCTCTCACACGAGGTCCCCATCCTATTACAGTGTAACATTTGAGACTTAATCATACTTGGTATTTCAAGAGTTAGATTTCTATATTTTGAGCAAATTAAATACATCTACATAAATGTCACTTGTGGCTTACCTATTTTATCCTCGATTCATTATCATCATACAAGCTTTAACAATTGGCTAATGATAAGCTCAACAATTCCTTCTTTCAGGTTTGATGTGGTTTCACAAATATATATGGTTCATTGGAAACAGTCATGATTTCATGAAAACAGCTATGATCTCTAAAATTATTTCAAAATCAAAAAACCATATCTGAATGCTATCATTAATACCCCACACTCAGAAGACAAGTGATTGTAACTAGAATATACTATTGGGCATTCAAACCATTGTAACTCATTTTCATGCAGGAAATGCTATCACCATCCTGACTTATTGCATGATAAACACTGAAGTGCTTCCTCCATGATGAAAAATATCCCAAGTTTTGATAAATCTAACAATTAAACATGGTACATTGAAGAATGATTCAATTATGCTGATCTAGTTAACAAACCAAAATCTACAGAAACTTTTAGCACTATCTCACAAAGTTTTCACTTTCAGTGCTATCTCACAAAGTTTTCACTTTCAGTGCTATCTCACAAAGTTTTAGCTTTCAGTGCTATCTCACAAAGTTTTCACTTTCAGTGCTTTCTCACAAAGTTTTCACTTTCAGTGCTATCTCACAAAGGTTTAGCTTTCAGTGCTATCTCACAAAGTTTTCACTTTCAGTGCTATCTCACAAAGTTTTCACTTTCAGTGCTATCTCACAAAGTTTTCAGCTTTCAGTGCTATCTCACAAAGTTTTCACTTTCAGCTTTCAGTTTTCACTTTCAGCTATCTCACAAAGTTTTTTCAGTGCTATCTCACAAAGTTTTAGCTTTCAGTTTTCACTTTCAGTGCTATCTCACAAAGGTTTAGCTTTCAGTGCTATCTCACAAAGTTTTAGCTTTCAGTGCTATCTCACAAAGTTTTCACTTTCAGTGCTATCTCACAAAGGTTTACAAAGGTTTAGCTCACACAAAGTTTCTTTCAGTGCTATCTCACAAAGTTTTCACTTTCAGTGCTATCTCACAAAGGTTTAGCTTTCAGTGCTATCTCACAAAGTTTTAGCTTTCAGTGCTATCTCACAAAGTTTTCACTTTCAGTGCTTTCTCACAAAGTTTTAGCTTTCAGTGCTATCTCACAAAGATTTCACTTTCAGTGCTATCTCACAAAGTTTTAGCTTTCAGTGCTTTCTCACAAAGTTTTAGCTTTCAGTGCTTTCTCACAAAGTTTTAGCTTTCAGTGCTATCTCACAAAGTTTTCACTTTCAGTGCTTTCTCACAAAGGTTTAGCTTTCAGTGCTATCTCACAAAGTTTTCACTTTCAGTGCTATCTCACAAAGTTTTCACTTTCAGTGCTATCTCACAAAGTTTTAGCTTTCAGTGCTTTCTCACAAAGTTTTCACTTTCAGTGCTTTCTCACAAAGTTTTAGCTTTCAGTGCTATCTCACAAAGTTTTCACTTTCAGTGCTATCTCACAAAGTTTTCACTTTCAGTGCTATCTCACAAAGTTTTCACTTTCAGTGCTATCTCACAAAGTTTTAGCTTTCAGTGCTATCTCACAAAGTTTTCACTTTCAGTGCTATCTCACAAAGTTTTCACTTTCAGTGCTTTCTCACAAAGTTTTCACTTTCAGTGCTATCTCACAAAGTTTTAGCTTTCAGTGCTATCTCACAAAGTTTTAGCTTTCAGAGCTATCTCACAAAGATTTCATCAAAACCTGTTCTCAAGAACATAAACTTGCATGCAAGTGCATTACATGTCCATGTACACCTATCACTGTGTACAGAGATAAAACATACAGGATTTCAAATGAGTTCTCATTTCACAATGTAACGTCTGTCAATATTATGATATCACAACTGATTTCTGACAGGCCCAGCTGATGAAAAATGCTCTGAGCAAAGTCTATAATACAAGTGTCATACACACAAAAACTGATATGGGTGAGTTCACTGAATAATGGTGGG